TCCCATCAGGTGGCCAAAGTATTGGAGTTTCAGCTTCAGCATCAGCCCTTCCAATGAATGCTCAAGACTGATTTTCTTTAGGATGATATAAATTCTATATCAAATCTACATTAAATAAAATTGTTTCTGTTATGTTTGTGATGATCTGACTCAGATACAAATTATGGGACAGTATCAGATTCACTCTGGGAGGCCCAGGGAGCTAGGCAGCTATTCTTCACCATGACTGAAGAGGAAGTATAATAAAATGCAATATTAATACAATCAGCATGTACACATTTCCTCCAGTGGCTCAGTGATAAGGAATCCGCCTGCAATTCAGGAGATGCAGGAGACAAGCGTTCAATCCCTGGGTCAGGAAGATCCACTGGAGAGGGAAATGACAACCTACTTCAGTATTCTTGCCTGAAAAATCCCACGGACAGAGGAGCCTGGCAGGCTACAGTCCATGGGGTTGCAAGAGTTGGATGTGACTGAGTGACTGAGCAGGCAACTTCTTAATATACGTGGTCATTTAAAATACCAGTCCCTGGGACTTCCCTGGTGATCCAGGGGCTATGACTCTGCGCTCCCAATGCAGGGGGCCCAGGTTTGATTCCTGGTCAGGGAACTAGATCCCACATGCCACAACAAAGACCTAGCATACCCAAATTTCAAAAAAATAAAAATAAATACCAGTCCCTGTATTGTGTACATGTCACATACCTTCTTAGGTGCCCTGGCCTGGTCAGACACCAGGCTCTCAGAGTCAAGTGGACTGATGGCCACTCTGCAGACCAGTCCTTCTCCAGCCCTTGAGGCTGACCTGTGCCTGCATCTGGGGTCTCTGGATCCTCCTGCCACAGATTTGGACAAATAGCTCCCCCTACAGGGCATGTGTGTTAATTTCCTGTTGCTGCTGGGACAAGTATGAGCTCAGATGTCTGAAATGAGGCTCGCCCGGCAACCCCAAGCTGTCAGCAGGGCTGGTTCCCTCTGAGAGCTCCAAGAGGGAAGCCTGCCCACTCCTCCCTCAGCTTCCGGAGGCTGCCAGCACTCCTCGGTTTGTGGCCCCTTCTTTGCATCATTCCAACCTCTTGCTTCCATCTCCTCTCCTCCTGCTGACTCTGATCTCCAGCCTCCTCCTTATGACATGTGAGTACATTGGACCCACACGGATAACCCAGAATAATCTCAAAATCCTCAATTTCATGACATCAACCAAGTCTCATTTGCTTTACAAGGTACCATGTTCAGGTCCTGGTGATTAGGATGAAGATGTATTTTTTAAAAAACTTTTTATTTTATATTAGAGTACAGCTGATTAACAATGTTCTGATAGTTTCAGGTAGACAGCAAAAGGACTCAGCCACTCATATACATGTATCTATTCTCCCCCAGACTCCCCTCCCATCCAGGCTGCCACCTATCATTGAGCAGAGTTCCCTGTGTTATATACAGTAGCGCCTTGTTGGTTATCCATTTAAAAATACATCAGTGTGTACATATCCATCCTAAACTCCCTAACTATCCCTTCCCCCCACTTCTCCCCCCCACCCCTGGTAACTGTAAATTCATTATGGCAAGTGGTATCATATGGTATTTATCTTTCTCTTACTTCACTCAGTATGACAGTCTCCAGGTCCATCCATGTGGTTTCTCATGGCATTATGTCATTCTTTTTAATGGCTGTGTAATATTCCACCATACATATGTGCCACATCTTCCTTTAGGGTGAGGGTATCTTTGGGGACCACTGTTCATCCTGCCACCATGAGGGAATAGGGCTTCCCATGTGGCTTTGAAGGTACCAGATGACATGGAAATGTGAGGAAGCAAGTGAAAGTCACTCAGTCGTGTCTGACTCTTTGCGACCTCATGGACTATACAGTCCATGGAATTCTCCAGGCCAGAATACTGGAGTAGGTAGCCGTTCCCTTCTCCAGGGGATCTTCCCAACCCAGGGATGGAACCCAGGTCTCCCTCATTGCAAGCGGATTCTTTACCAACTGAACCACCAGGGAAGCCCAAGAATACTGGAGTGCGTAGCCTATCCCTTCTCCAGCGGATCTTCCTGACCCAGGAATTGAACCGGGGGCTCCTGCATTGCAGGCGGATTCTTTACCAGCTGAGCTATTGTGGAAGCCCAAAGGTGAGGGAACTGACTTCCTAGGTGGCGAAATTCGACCAATGGGAACCAGGAGGCAGGACCTATCTGGGAAGACATTTCTTTCCTCCTTCCTGGAGGAGTGCCCCAAGGCAGGATTTCCCTGGGGGACCTGTGCAGAGATATCACACAAGGCCCCAGAGAGGCTCCTGCTGAGCACCTGGGTGGGTCTCTCATGGCTCCCTGGGAGGCAGCAGCTGGTACAGTGACATGGTCCTTTGCCTTGCCTCTCATCCTCCTCCACCTCACTGCCTTATCCTCACTGCCCTGGGATTGCCCTTTTTAAGCATCAGCAGTTAATCTCTGGATGGGCTCTGTTCTCTAGGGAATCTCTTCTGATATGCCCCCCTCCCCCAGCTGAAAGTCACCATTTATTCCTTCATTGATTCAAGAAATAATTACTGAGCATCTACTATGTTCAGACACCGCTCTGTTCTCCTGGAGCTTACATCCTAACTGGGGAAGACATGCAATAAACAATTAAATAAGGAAATACCATTTGTGGCAAGTGCTATTTAAACCACAGGGATGCGATAAAAAGTCTTGCCATTTTATATTTGGTGGTGAAGAAAGGCTTTTCTAGGGAGGTGACAGTCAAACCGAGACCTGCGTGACAAAGAGCTGTTTGTGTAGAATCAGGGGAAGAAGAGGCGACCTTAATGGCAGGTATCAATTTGCCATCTCACATGGATGATTCTGCGAAGCATGCTCTGGGTGAATAGCAGCAGAAATTTACTTTTAAAAAATTCATGATTCTACCAAGCAATAGAAGGCCAGATGGTTTAAAAGACAAACATTTCAAGCAAAGTCTTCCAACTTACCAGTAGATGGGATTTTCTTTGTCATGAAAGGATATATTTTGTCTTATTAGAAATTAGATTATTTTTAACACTAAGCATCATTTAAGAGGACTATGAAATTAAAGTGATGAGTCTAGCTACTTCACCTGTATAATAAACTGGGTTATAAACCGATTTCCTCCTATTTTTGTTTCTAGGATTAGCTGATGTCTGGTGCCTAAGCTATCTTTCTTCCTACAGCTTTTTTACCTGGCGTCTCCAGTACGGTGACTGTTGTACTCCAAAAGCACACATCCTACAAGAGAGTAAAAAAAAACTGTGGTGTCCATTTTCATGACTTGATTTTGGGAGTTGAACATTGTTCCTCTGCCACATTCTATTTTTTAGAACGAGAGGAGAATCGAACTCCACCTTCTCATGGGAGGATTATCAGAGAATTTGTGGATGCGTTTAAAGCCACCATGATTGGTCCCCTGGTCCAAATTATTGACATTTCTCTTTCATGCACTTCTGAAATTCAGCTAACATAAGGTTAGGACTCAGTTCCACTAACTGGGAATCATTCTCCATGGGTTCCTGGGTCTATCCTCTGAGTCATTATTCTTTCTTTTTCTCTTTATTTTTAATTGAAGGACAATTGCTTTACAGTATTGTGTTGGTTTCTACCACATATCAGCATGAATAGGCCATAGGTTTACCCGTGTCCCCTCCCACTTGAACATCCCTCTCTCTCATTATTCTTTAAATGCTACGGATTAGTGACTGATAATGCTATGGATTAGTGACTGATAAGAAGGCTGAGCATTGAAGCCTGAGCATTGAAGAACTGATGCTTTTGAACAGTAGTATTGGAGAAGACCTTTGAGAGTCCCTAGGACTGTAAGGAGATCAAACCAGTAAATCCTAAAGGAAATCAATCCCGAATAATTGGAAGGACTGATGCTGAAGCTGAAACTCTAGTACGCTGACCACCTGATGCGAAGGACTGACTCATTGGAAAAGACCCTGATGCTGGGGAAGACTGAAGGCGGGAGGAGATGGGGACGACAGAGGATAAGACGGTTGGATGGCATCACTGACTCAATGGACGTGAGTTTGAGTAAGCTCTGGGAGTTGGTGATGGACAGGGAGGCCTGGCGTGCTGCAGTCCATGGGGTCACAAAGAGTCAGACACAACTGAGCGACTGAACAATTACAACAACAGTGACTGCTATGTGCTTCCCACTTCCCCCCTTTAAAAATCAGTATCCACAGCTGTTATCTTTCGCCAGTCCCATTATGGTATGGGAGCATAGAAAACTTGTCTCTTTAGTGCAGAGACCTTCCAATCAACAAGACTTGAATCAATGAGCTATACCTGGGGACCACACCCAAGGAGCCTCATTCACAGTGCAGCTTGATTTAGATGATGAGGTCTTGATGATGAGTCAATAGATAAGACTTTGATGGATCTGGAGAGGGAGGGAGCGGATTCTGCGTGAAGGGTGATTTAAAGTTAGTGGCTGAGGGACATCCCGAGCGGAGGAGCAGGTAGGAATCCACCCGCCAATGCAGGAGACCTGGGTTCGATCCCACATGCTCTGAAGCGACTAAGCCCATGCGCTGCAACTACTGAAGCCCAAGTGCTTAGAGCCTGTCCTCTGCAACAAGAGAAGCCACCACAGTGAGACGCTGGGGCACCGCCGTGCAGAGTAACCCTCGCTCACTGCAACTAGAGAAAAGCCCACACAGCAACTGAGACCCAAAGCAGCCAAAAATAAATAAAATTTTTAAAAAGTAAAAATAAATAAGTTAGTGGCTGAGATGATCTAAAGAACTTCACACATTATGGTTGAGGTTGATGGGACCAACAGTGGGTGATAGTCCACTTGGGGTTTGTCTATCTCCACGTGGCCTCCTGACATAATCTTTTCAGCATTGCTGCTTCAGGTTAGGGGGATTTCCTGTCAGCTCAGAGCATTTAAAGGCCTGTATCCCAAGAGAAAGAGCAGGCAAAGATAGGCCACTTTTGCTGACCTGGCTTGTGAGCTAGGCAGGATCACTTTCACGACATTCTATTTATTAGAAGTGGAGTCACTATGCTGTTGTTTAGTCACTAAGTCATGTCTCCTTGTGACCCATGGACTGTAGCCTGCCAGGCTTCTCTGTCCATGGGATTTCTCAGGCAAAATGACTGGAGTCAGTTGCCATTTCCTTCTCCAGGGGATCATCTTGACCCAGGGATCGAACTGTTCCTGCACTGCAGATGGCTTCTTTACTGTGGAGCCAGCAGGGAAGCCTGGAGCCACTACGGCTGGTCCTTTATTCACGAAGTGAGACCTCACCTTTTTATGGGCTGGGTATGAGGAAGTTGCAGCATATTTAAAACTACCACACACACCATAGAGCAGAGACCCCATAGAGCAGAGCTCACCACCCATCTGAGGCCCCAGTTAAGTTCAGTTCAGTCGCTCAGTTATGTCCGACTCTTTGCTATCCCATGGACTGCAGCATGCCAGGCCTCCCTGTCCATCACCAGCTGCCGGAGCGTGCTCAAACTCATGTCCATCGAATTGGTGATGCCATCCAACCATCTCATCCTCTGTTGTCCCCTTCTCCTCCTGCCTTCAATCCCTCCCAGCATCAGAGTCTTTTCCAGTGAGTCAGCTCTTCACATCAGGTGACCAAAGTATTGGAGTTTCAGCTTCAGCATCAGTCCTTCCAATGAACACCCAGGACTGATCTCCTTCAGGATGGACTGGTTCGATCTCCTTGCAGTCCAAGGGACTCTCAAGAGTCTTCTCCAACACCACAATTCAAAGCATCAATTCTTCAGCGCTCAGCTTTCTTTATGGTCCAACTCTCACAGGCACAGGACAAAGACAAGGCAAGATCAACAAAGAGAACTGGCTGCCGCAGTCATGAGTGAGACCATCAGGGAAACTGCCCCCTATAGAATCACGCTCTCAATAAAGGCTTGTTGTATTAGCCACTGGATTCTGGAGTGACTTGTTACACAACAAAGCTGCTACAGCTAGTTAAATAAATGGCCTTCTAAACCCCAATGTCCTCACCATAAAATAGGTTTGCCAGCATGTACATCATGGCCACTGAGGGGACACAATGAGATGATGATGACTGGACACCAAGCCTGAACCGTGACATGTGCTGAGCAAATGCTAACTAATGCCACTGGTCACATCAGAGAGAGATGGTCAAAGGGAAAGGGGAGTATGAGAAGGAATGATTCATTCCGCTGGCATGAGCTCACACCACACATCACAAACCTGCATTTTCTGGCTCATTATTCACCTTTGAAAACTTTCCTCCTCGAATTCTTGTTTTCTGGACACTTCAACACATATGCAGTGGTCAGCATACGTATTTATACATGCTGGCTTCATGTATTTATATATTTTATCTCCAGTTAGGCTCGGCTTCTCTCCTGGCTCAGATGGTAAAGAATCTGCCTGCAATGCAGGAGACCTGGGTTTGATCCCTGGGTTGGGAAGATCCCCTGGAGAAGGGAATGGGTACCCACTCCAGTATTCTTGCCTGGAGAATTCCAGGGACAGAGGAGCCTGGCGCGCTACAGTCCATGAGGTTGCCAAGAGTCAGACATGACTAAGTGACTAACACTTTCAACTTTCAGGCTCTAAGCAGTTTAGATAATTCTTGGGTTTCCTTGGCAAACCCCGCTGAGATGGTGTTTTGCTTTTGTATCTAAACAGCAAGAATGCAGTAAATACTCAGTAAATTCAGTTAATTAAATTATCTTCTGGTTGGTGTTATTCTTGGGGTTATCTTATCTCTAATCAAGAGGACTATTAAATTTCCTCAGTGTCAAGTAAACTTACAGAGGACGATTTCCCTCAAGATGTTAGAGGAATTATTCATTTTCTTTCTTTTTTTTTTTTGAATTATTCATTTTCTTTCCTGGCAAGTCAGGAGGGAATGGGGAGACCTCTAATCTGGCAACTGGTTCCCACCAACAAAAGTCTGGATGCCTCTGGGACAGTAGACCCTGTTTATGTCTCAAACTGCTCATCAACTCTGATCCTGTTATTACCTGAAAGAGAAAATAAAAGTGCCTGGGTGAACTAAAGATAGGCACTGTCTCTATACTTCGAAAACATCTTTAAATTTCCCATATCTTTCCTTCATTCAAAATGCTGCAGGCTTTCTAAATATCTTCCTTTTTACTTCCTTCAGAGGGTTTTCTCTAAGATGCTGCTTTTTAATGAAAAATTATTGATGAGTCTTTTCTGTTGGGGGTGAAGGACTCAGCTTCTACCAGCTTTGGAGAGTCAACTATGCATCTCATTTCAACTCTGCATTCAGCAGTGTCACCTCGGAGCTTGCAATCAGCCATAGTGGGAATACTGCCACCCTGGAAATTAGCAACCACTACAAAGTGGGATTGTTTTCCCTGGGGAGCCTGGAGATGAATTTATCTGCCAGCAAGTCACTGCTGCCAGAACACTGGGTGCTGGAGAATTACAGCTTTTGTAGTCCTGAGCTCAGACACTAGGTCTCAGCAGTAAACATCAGGGTCACCTTCCCACTGCTGGGCTGCAGAATGCTCTAAGTTGGGGGGCTGACAAAAGGGGGGCAGAGTTAAAGCAGGACCAGCCAGCTGAAGTATGTGCCACTCAGCTGGAGCCAGCAGTATGGGCTGACACATGGGTGAGGCAGAGTGTGCGTCAGACAAGGCTGGACGCAGGTGGGCAGAAAACACAGGGCATCTTTTGGTTAGGTTATAGGAGAGTTTTTAGTGCAAGAGTATATTGGGCTTCCCAGGTGGCACAGGTGGTAAAGAACCTGACTGCTAATGCAGGAGACCTAAGAGACTCAGATTTGATCCCTGGGTTTGGAAGATCCCCTGGAGGAGGGCAACCCAGTCCGGTATTCTTGCCTGGAGAATCCCATGGACAGAGGAGCCTGGTGGGCTACAGTCCATAGGGTCACCAGATGCAACTGAAGCAACTGAGTACACACGCGTATTTGGCTTTATGTTTGATAAAGGCATTCTATGCAACTTGTCTGTGGAGAATAGCATATGGGGTTGGTGAAGGGTGCCAAAGACGGAAGTGTGGAGACCAAGAAAGATGCCATCTGGGGCTGGGGGGGTGGCTAGGACATGGCTTCTGACTTTTATCCTGACACCTGCTCCATGCTTACATCTCTGTGCTCAGGCTCCTTGAGGGGCCCTCTCCCCAGGAACTCCTCCCCTCTGCCACAGGGCAAGACCCACGCAAGATGCCCCATTCTCGAGGCTCCCCCTCAAGGGCGCTCCCCCACCCCCCTCCCAGTCACACGGACCTACGTGCTTTGGGCACCTGGAACTCACCTAACCGCTGCTGTGTCAGCCTGTGTGGTCATATAGCATCTTCACCTGCATTTTTCTGATCCCCACAACGTCTTGAGAGTTGGGGCTGGGACTTGATCACTCTGTCTGGCTAAATTCAGCTTCTGGGATGTTCCCAGTGGGTGCCATGCTGGATTCCTTAGGGCATGTGGACAGAAGACATTTTCTGTCCTGAAGAAGCTCTAGTTAAAATCCAGGGACTGATTAGGTAGAAACCAGATCTGTGCTGATGATAAATGCAAAGAGGGCTGATCAGGAAGGTCACTCAATATGGTGGACAACACAAAGCAACAGATCCAAAACCAGGGACTCTATTCCATGTCTGATACATGGAATCAAAATCCTAACTAGAGCCAACAGTTGATTAAAAAGGAGATGGTATACTTCTGTAATTACTTAAACCAGGTGTCCACAAGCTCCTTCCGCAAAGGACCAGAGAGTAAATACTTGAGCTTTGCAAGAGCTCCCATCACAACTGGTCAACTCTGCTATCGAATGGTAATCACACTTCTAGATACCACACAAATCAACAGGTAGAGATGTGCTCCAATAACTCTCTATTTAGAAAGCAGTTTGTCTCTGGGCTGTAGTTTCTTGACCTCTGACCTAAAAGATCAAAATTATAGACTTGAAAATGGTAATGCCAAACTTATAATCCAGATCCAACGCTTTCCCAAATATCACGATGCTTCTCTGGTCAGTTGTACAAAACAGGCATAAAGGTGCTGATTAAATTTGGGTGAGTGAGTGAAAGTCACTCAGTCATGTCTGACCCTATATGACCCCATGGGCTATAGCCTGCCAGGCTCCTCCGTCCATGGGATTCTCCAGGCAAGAACACTGGAGTGGGTTGCCATTCCCTTCTTCAGGAAATCTTCCTGACCCAGGGATCAAACACAGGTCTTCAGCTTTATATATTGTTTTGTTCACTATTATTAATAGATAATAAGGTTTAGTGGATGAGGATTTTTATGTTCTTTAAAGCACGTATTTGTATACGCAGAGGACATATGTATTTCTAGAATATATCAAAGATCCCAATGGATGATAGATTAAATACAGAATTTTACTGTAAGCGTGTATGTGACCCAACTTAAGGTGCTTAGTAAAAAGTCTCACAAATGTTTGCTTTCTTACATTTCTGAACTATTTTTAGAGAGAAATCAAGTGGGCTTTTTTTCCCTCTCCAAAGCTGTCTAGGACACAAAAAGGACTAGGCACCTCTAGAGATACCATGTGCAATCATATCTAAAATACCCTGGGAGAAAAGGAAGGTACAAGAGAGTTTATGCTTTTGTGTATTTCTTAAAATGGAAGGGGTTGGGAATATTTATGTGAGTATATGCTTGTAATATTTCTGGAAGGACATTCTAAAAAATGGTAAAAATAATTGTTTCTGGGGAATTAAACTGGGTAAATCAGGGGATCCCAACTGGGTGGAAGATTCATTTTACTCTGTTTGAATAAGAAAAACCTCACCTATGTGTATTATCTTCTAAAAGAATTAAAAATTAGAATAAAAAAACGAGGTTGTCCAACTAGTTGTCCATGTTGATGCCTTTCTCTGTAATAAGCAGAGACTCAACATTACTCCACAGGTCACATGTATAAACCTATTGGTCTCACACACAATGAGTGCCTGTCAATCTGGTGAAATCAGAATAAACCGCAGATGGAGGAAACTCAAGTTTCTTAGCTGTGATCTTTTCTGCGATTGTGAGATGTTACCCCTGAGGACACCCAGGTGAAGGGTGTAGAGGCCTTTCTGTACGTTCTATTCCAACTTCCCCTGAATCTCTAATTACTTCTAAATGAAATGTTAAGTTGAAGCTATTGATGGGTAAAAGCTTCTGCGTAGAGAGACCTGGGTCCAAGCCTGGTGCTGCTGGAATGCCTCAGCCAAGTCACTTTGCCTGTCTCTGCCCACTTCCTCATATGTGACTGGGGGTGTGGGGCGCCCTTCTGGGGTATGAGAAGTTATACAGGAAGTCCTGAGTGGTCAGTGGTGGAAAAGGCACTTCTGCTGGCTGCTTTTGGGGCCTGAAATGAAAAAAATGACAACAACAAAACACCAGAATCTTAGCTCAGCTTTGTTTGGTCACCTCCAGGCCAAGTGCTGGGGCAGCACTTGGCTTCGGATCACCTCCTGATCGCTCCTGGGAGGAGGTGGATCCAAGACACAAGGACACACAGGTGAGGAGAAGGACATTGCGGGGGGACCAGTGACGTCACGTGCCATGTCTGATTGAGGAGCCTGTGTCGGTTCTTTGGGGGAAATCAGTCGCTAGACAAGTTCCCTGGGTATTCTGCTCACCAGCAGGTGAGCAGGCCTGCAAGCAGGTAGCAGGACAGAGGCTCCGCCATCAGGCGTCTTGGGGCTCGGCTATAGGAGACAGTCTAATATCCACAATTCAAGTCCTCAGATTTCTGTGCCTTCACTGAACCTGGTGTTTTATCTTCCTCGCGTTCTTGGGGTCATGCTGTGTCTAAAAAGCTGCTAAAAATGACTACATGGTTGACATATAGTCCTGATGATCAAGTGCATGAAACACACAGCCTTGACCTTTTGAAGCCTTGAGCATTAAAAAGAAAACCCAACAAAAACACAAAGCCCACATGGTATTGAGAGCCACCCCATAAAGAAAAGACACTGAACGTTAGCTAGTATCTTTTATTGTCAGACTTTCTTGGGCCAAGAAACAATGATTCCGCATGGCTATCCATAGGGATAAGGCAAGTTTCTTCTCTGGGTGGTTAGACTTAGTTGGCCTAAGTCTTTACAAGTTTTCTGTATAAAAATAGAAGTCCAAGACCAGATTACCTTTCTTCTGGTCATAAACGCTGATTTATTTACAGGGGCCTTGTTCAGGTCACCATTATAAACTTCGGATAAAATAGGTGTGTATTTTATTAAAGCCTCAGCATTGAATGTCAGGGTCCTTTAAAGATTTGTTCAAGTCGCTTTCAAGGAAGGTGACATCTTTCCCTCATATTCAAACATGGTTAAGTCACAATCTACCCAAAGAGTGATTCAAGCTAACCTTCCAGGAAACATTTTTTTAACTTAAATCTCTTAGAAACTGAAGACTCCAAAGTGACTTCATACAGTTCTAAAAACAGCCTTGGAGTGAACTGTTGAAGAGTGGTTTATAAATACAGTTATTTGCAGGCTGCATATCTGTTTATGATACAGCAGACACAGACTGCAGACTTTGCTACACGTAAAACAAAACTGGAGTCAAAAATGTGGCTTTCGAAATACAGCAATGACAGGAAACTAATCCAGGATTCCGGGTTGTTAATAAAAACCACCTTGCCAAGTAACAGTTGAGGACTCTTGACTCTGAACAATTAAAATATACAGATGCTACACCATTCATTGCACATCCTCTTTCCCTTCGCTTTCAAGGCTCGCAGAACAATGATGAAAGTGATGTGTTTATGAACACATGCGTGCACAGGCAAGCGCATGCACGTTAAAGATGAAACGAGAAAAAGTTAATAGGCGTCTGTGAGGAAGGCTGCCAGCAGCTCTCCACCTAAAATAGACCATCCCCTCTCGCTCTCTCTCCGTCCCCCTCCCCACTCCCTCACCTTCCCTCCCAGGGGGAATCAGGCTGAGACATTAGTGCAGAATTGCTGGATCGATGCCCCTCCCCCACCCTAAGCTCAGCAAGCCTTCCTGAAAAGCAGGGGCGAGCATCCATCTCCCTTCAGTAGCACAGTTACGGGGGGCTCATGTCGGCTCCACGGAGTTAAGGCACTTCCGGCTGCTTTGGTGGCAGCATGCGTTTCGTTTCCTCTCTTTTTAAGGCATGTGTCATCTAAGAGAAGTAAAGCTTTGGGAACTGGGTTAAGGTGGTACAGCTGAATAACCGATCGCTGGAATGGACAGGGCGAAAGGTCCCCCGAGACACCTTCCTCCGACGAGGGGCTTCTGGAAAGTCCCGGGCGGCCACAATTCGGACTGCAGACGCGGGAGCCGGTGGGGCCGAGGAGGGGGGTGGCGTGTGCAGGTGCTGAGTTCGCGTGGACTCAGGCCGCCTTCACCTGGAGCTGCCCTGGCTGCTCACGGAGCGCGAGGTGCTGTAGCGCTTCTTCACGATCATGCTGATGTAGGCTTTCATGAGCTTGGCCACGTCCACCACCTGCAGGGGGGGGGGGGGAGCAGAGTCGGACCACGGTCACCAAGTGTCCGCAAGGCCAGGGGGCCCAGGCCAACGATCAGACATCCTCCGCCCAGGGCGGGCAAGCGGGCCCGTCCTGCCCGCAAAAGCCAGTAGCCTGCCCGTGTGAATCCACGATGCAGGCTGTGGATTCGGCCAAAAGTTCAACTGCTTTTGCCCTTTTGCTCCTGGTGGGGAGAAGGGACTCCTGGCCTTTCCCCCTGTGCCACCTGGAGGTTGCCTGATGTAAAAGTGTCGCATTTTGCAGGTAAAATAAAACCCCCATCTAATCACATTTTTAAGGGTATTGGTATGATCAGGGCTGGGATGACTGTCCCCACTGAAAATCACAGCTTTAAAGATTGGATCCCTTCCTGCCAGTCAGCACCTCCTGATATAGCTGGAGAAACAGACTGAGGGCCGGGGCAAGGGTGGGGGGTGGGGGCATGGGGACCACCACCTCCCACCCCACCAAAAGCCACCCATGCACATTCTGCTCCCTGACAACTGTGCACCCACAGTAGCTCTTTCAGGGTGTGTTCACTGCCACCCCTTTCTGGCCCATTCCTCCAGATGGCTGGCCTGGGTCCCTGCAAAGACATCCTAACTGGCTTCCATCTCCCTGATTTCTCTTCCTTCTAATCCCACCAGACATCCCTGTGAAAGCACTGTTCAGACACATCATGCATAAAGATCTCACAACGGTTCTCTGTTGTCTACTGGAGTTGACCAAACCCAGCAGCCGGGCACATGGACTCTCCCATAAAAGCCCCACCTCCTTCCAGCCCACTGCACACCTCCTGCACCACATCCATGGTCATCACCTCCCAGCACCTCTCCCTCACTTTACGCCAGTAGCCAAATGGGAGGCATGGAATTCACACCCATTTCTTACCTTTGCTTGTTAGCAGCTCCCTGCGTGGAGACCTCAACAGGCTTCCTGCATTCTCATCATGATTACTACTACATTTTATGCTTTGGAGTGGGATGGCATATATACAGAGGAGTTTTTGTGATTTTTGTGTGTGGTGAGAATTAGCTCTTCCCAGGACGGTCTGCCCCTCACTCCCTCCTGCTCCTTGGACACTGCCTGGCCCCAGTCTCATAGCTGTGATACACTGCCACCTTGTCTAATAATTTTCGCAAGGCTTTATTGCCAAAATATATATACATATATTTTGTGGACCTCTATGTCACTTCCCTTTCTCTTCCTGCAAGGGTAAGACCCCCTGACAGCTGGAAACTAAATTTCTCCATTGCAAAGGTATACAGAAGAAATGTGGGACTATCAGATTTTGGCCTGGGAGAAACCTGCAGCAGGGGAGGGACCACCACACTGCATTTTCCTATGTCTTAGAGTGAAATATTCAAATAAAGTTATTTGGTCAAAGGCATCAGGAAATGGGATGTTGTCTTGCTAGTTCATCAAGGCCACAGATGAAAGATTTGCCTCTTACCTCACTGGTTTCAAAGAGCAGCTCCCTCTCATCGACGACGATCTTGTAGGTGTTGGCCAGCGGGGCACCGAAGGAGAGGATGTGTTCATATTGGAAGACTTCCAACGGCCTCCCTTCCCCGCGCTTATAGACAGAGACCGCGTCGGCGCTGACGCCCAGCCAGAGTTCCTGGGGAAAGCCACCTTCCTTGCACTGGGGGGCAGGCAAGAGTTGGGGCAAGATCAGATCAGCAAAGTCAGAAACAGGACACAGAAACCACAAGATGGGTTTTTAGCCCAGCCCTCTGCACAGAGTACTGAACACATTCAATGTGTCTTTTTATGCAGAGGGCAATTGAAATACAAGATATGGTAGCTCTCTAGCTGTCTTGATTGATTTCTGACCAACTCATCAACCCCATGCATTTGGAGAACACCAACTAGTAAATTCAGCATCTTGCTTGGACTCTTCACCTCTCAACATCACCACTGTCTTGGCCATGTGAATTAGCTATGAAAAGGTGGCCGCAGGCGAGGAACTTGACAGTAATTCCTCATCAAATCAAGCAGCCTGTCTATCATTGCATGCTAAGTGACTTCAGCTGTGTCTGACGCTTTGCGCCGTGTAGACTGCAGCTCACCAGGTTCCTCTGTCCATGGGGCTGTCCAGGCAATACTAGAGTGGGTTGCCATACCCTCCTCCAGGGGATCTTCCCTACCCAGGGATGGAACCAGCATCTCTTACATCACCTGTACTGGCAGGCAGGTTCTTTACCACTAATGCCACCTGGGGATCCCTGTCTATCTCTAGTTCCGCCTCAATCCTGTTTTGGATGATTGTTCTTCAAATACGAAATCTAGGATCATAGCGGGAAATTCTCCAAACATGTGCTGAGCAATGTCAGCTCCTCCTGAAAAACACATCTCGGGACAAGGCGCAGCAATGACCTTTTGTGTGTATGGTGGTTGATCTCACTGGTTAACCAACAGACTTTTTTGCACACATAAGTGTAAGGACATAGGAGCCAGGACATAGGGATGACACCGGCAGGCAGTGGGACTCAAGAGGGATACACATCAGGGATGCAGGAGAGGAGGTATTTGTACAAAGCATCTGACTTACACTTAAAAACAAATGTAACTGACTCAACCAACCAACACGCCCACCCAAAGATGGCATCCAGTGAAAACTCATGGAATATATTATCAATATTTAGGGTTTTATAAAGCCTCCTTCAAAAGTCAACTGAATGACTGAATGACTGAATGACATTCATGCTGAATGACTCTAATCCTAAGAAAAATAGATGCTCATCTAGACCAAGAGTTGGCAAACTTATCTGCTAAGGAACAGACAGTAAATACTTTAGGTTTTGTGGTGTCAGTCACAGCTGTTCAACTCGGCCATTTTAGCCTGAAAGCAGCCAAAGAAAAATACATAAAAGAGCACTGCTGTATTCCAACAAAACTTTATTTACCAAAAAAAAGAAGGCAGGCAGCATTTGGCCCTCAGGCTGCAGTCTGTCAAGGTTTGATTTTGATCATTAATAAAATTTTCTTTCAATAAATGATCTACTTAAAAAAGAAAAGGATATGAATCAGTACTGGGTTGATGCAAATTTAGTCAAATTCTAATTGTGTAAAAGAAATTCTTTCCTACAAACAGTCATGGGAAAAAAAAAATTAAAATCCAAATATATCCAAATTTTCTAATTTTACAGACATACTGCTAAGATTCTTTTAAAAACATTAATGCAAATTTTTACCAGCACTTTTTCATTGGGTCTACAGCTCGAATAAGAAAGAGTCAGTTATTTAAGAATAGGTGATATCTTAATTTTCCACTTGCTTCTCACATTACAAAAGCATTTATTCAGAGAAGGAGGAAGAATACTTTGGGTGGGTGGGGGAGGGTGTGAAGGGTAAAACTGGGGAGCTCTAACCTACAAGGGCAGGGCTCCCCAGGTGGTGCTACTGGTAAAGAATCCCCCTGCCAAAGCAGGAGACATAAGAGACATGGGTTTGATTTCTGTGTGGGGAAGATGCCCTGGAGGAAGACATGGCAACCCACTCTAGTATTCATGCCTGAAGCATCCCCACGGACAGAGGAACCCGGTGGGAGGGTCACAAGGAGTCTGATATGACCGAAGCAACTGAGCATGCATGCAACCTCAGAGGGTAAGAGAGCCACATGTTCTAACCAGTCCTCCCTCCCCGTGACCCTGACAGAGGTCACACTGACTCGGGTGTGCAACCTGGTCCGGGAAGCAGCAGCCCGCTCTCACCTCCACGTCAAAGAGCGTCGACCCGTACCCAGGCCACTCCTTGATCAAGGCCATGTACTTGGCCATGGCCTGTTCCTGGCTCATGCCCTGGAATTTCTTCCACTTGTCCAGGATGCTGGCCCGCGCGGAGCACACCTCCTCCTTCACCCACATGTCCACCACCTGCTCCTCCTCTGCCTTCTGCCGTATCGCCGAGCCCGTCCGGAAGCTCCGCCGGAGGGTCCCCTCCAGGAAGCTCGTGCGCCTCTTCTCCAGCCGCTCCCCTGGCGTGAAGCTCTTGGTGGACTGGCTGATGCGGGCCTTGAGCCTCTGCAGCGAGTAGACCTCCTCGAGGGGCGGCACCGGGGCGTGCGGCGTGTAATCCCCCTGCAGGTACTGGAGCCGCAGGGCAGCCAGCACCTGCAGGTTCTCCTCGGGGGCCGGGTAGTGGCCGTGGATGACGGCTTCGTGGGCCTGTGAAGAGGTGGTCAGTGGCTTTACGGGGCCAGACGGCCATGCGACACGACGCCCGCCTGGCCTGTTCCCTCAAACCATCAGGATTTTTCTCAAATGCCATCTTCCCATAAAATGGGACCCTAATGCCCCTTCGCGGCTTTAAATTTCTCCCTGGCAATGGGTACCACTGAAAACATGTATTTATTATTTCCTCTCCCTCTCCCTCCTCCCCATCCCCAACTAGGACAGTTCCTGGTACAAGAGTTCACATAATATGTATGCAAGTTTCCTTCTACCAATGAATAAAAGAGCAGCCCACACTGGTTATGCTGGGAATTCTACCACCATGCCTGGTTTCTAGGGACTAGCAGTTAATATGAGAGGGGTATGAATGGGTTCACCCCTGTGTGTCTGCAAAGAAGCTTAAGAACTCCATCAGTTCAGTTCAGTTCAGTTCAGTCGCTCAGTTGTGTCCGACTCTTTGTGACCCCATGAACTGCAGCACACCAGGCCTCCCTGTCCATCACCAACTCCTGGAGCCTACCCAAACTCATGTCCATTAAGTTAGTGATGCCACCCAACCATCTCATCCTGTCATCCCCTTCTCCTGCCCTCAATCTTTCCATGTACCTGTTCAAACATAAAGGCGAATTCCACACTGTCTTTTGGCACGTTGTCTGTGTCCAGGAAGCAGTAAAGTTTGAAGTAGAATTTCCAGGGCTGCTCGCCCGCCTCTGAAGTGGCAGCCAGCCTACAGACATAAGTGGAGAGAGACGCAGGAAGTAAAACCGGATATGGGCCAAGGGTGGCCCACAGGGCCATCAGCACATGGGATATATTCTATGTTAGGATTCAGATACCCTGTCTGCGCTCAGAGCAGAGTGTGGAGGTGGGGTGGTGGGAGAGAAAACAGCCAGGGAGAAGCTTCTGAGAGTTCCCTGCTAACTCATCCAGAGGCGAAAAACACAGTTTCATCCTAGTTTTAAAGGCAACAAACAGGCAGCCTTCAGTTAAATTGAGCTAACAAGTATTTTCTGAGTGCCCATTCTGGTTAGTTCCAGCAAAGCATCATGCTGCATTCAGAGGAAGAAAAGAAACAAAGCCTATTCCTTTATTCCCTCTGCCAACTCTCAAATACTTATAACAACTGACATGAGGATTCCCTGACAGTCCAGTGATTAGGACTCTGCCGTTCCACTGCCCAGGTTTGATTCCTGGTCACTAAGATCCTGCAAGCCCACAGCACAGGAAAAAAAAAAAAAAACCCAACCTGAACAAAAACTGACATGAATATTAGGGAAGCTGTGTTTATATAAAGTAGAAATATCTTTTTTTTTTTCTTTCCATTTTGGCTTATTTCTACCAAAGCACTTAGACCAGGCCCACCCAGAAGAGAGGATGTCACTTCTCAAGAGACTTGAAGTTTGGGGCTGCTCTACACCTCGTGGTCCCCTGCCACATTTCTAAGTTAAAGCTGCTTCTGCCCCTTATGCAGTCGGGGAGGGTGAGGGCCCAGCCTGGCTGGAGTCTTGTTATTGGCACTAGAATCATTCCAGAGTAGGACTATCCTCTGTGTTACTTGGGGGCTGTAAATATTGCTGGTCCAAGAGATACTAAATGGGGTTTGGAGAGTTTATAAGCTGGCTTCTGTCTACTCACCCAGCTTCAAAGCTAATGACAAGTGAAGATCTGAGAAAAAGCAGAAAATTCCGAGATAATCGGAACAGGGGACCGAGAGAGGGAATGGAGCCGAGGAACAAGGATGAGTGAATCCTATTTGAGACAGTGGCTCTGTCCAGGGTCAAGGGTAACAGGCAGCAGAGACAGATGAGAAATTAAATATGCTTCAGCACAGGTAACATGAGGCGGATTCAAATACGCGCTGAAGATGAAAATGGAATAGAAGTTCAAACCCTCTTTCTCTTAACTTCTTTCTAATCTGCTGCCACTTCAGGGAGAAGGAACTTACTTTTCAAACTTTGCCAACACGTCCGCCACGATGGTCCTGCTCTCGATGGCTTTATCGACGTGTCCATTGTACTCAAAGAGCGCGAACATGTTTCTGCTGTCTTCCATGGCCAGGCCTCGGATCAGCTTCTCCACCACCTGGAACACACGGGGTCCTCAGCTGTGGTTCTAGAACATGCCTTTATCAGAAGCCAGAGGGAGCTGCCGGCACATGCGAGGGTCCAAGCAGCTTTCCGACACCGTCGTGTGTAGAATTTCAAAGGTGCTGTTTCCCCTGGTTCTCTTGAAATCAGTTCTCTGTCTTCCTTGCCAAAAAGAACATAGGATATTCTGCCTCCTGGTAGGGGCAGATGCTGGGCCAGTTTCTTGAAAACTAGCAAGTGCATGAAACTAAAGTCCTTTTGGGGGCTTCCCTGGTGGTCTAGTAGTTATGATTCTGCCTTCCAATGCAGGTGATGCAGGTTTGATCCCTGGTTGGAGAACTAAGATCCCACATGCCATGGGGCAACTAAGCCTGTGTACCAAGACATGAGAAGCCCACACACCACAACAATGACCCAGCTCAGCCAAAATAAATAGGTAAATAAAATTGTAAAACAAAAATAAAGCCCTTTTGTCTAATAGTGATATCTGTTGATACTTCTGCTACACCAGCTTTCCTGGGTTTTATTGCACTATTCCTTTTAGCCCATTGGTTTTGCAATATTAATACTAAGTTTACATTGAAAAAAGAAAGAAAAAAACTGTGTTCCCCTCTCCCAGTGTTCTAGATTGCTGTTGTTGTTTAGTCGCTCAGTCATGTCTGACTCTTTGTGACCCCATGGACTGTAGCCCGCCAGGCTCCTCTGTCCATGGGAATTCTCTAGGCAAGAATACTGGAATGGGTTGCCTTGGCCTCCTCCAAGGATCTTCCCGACCCAGGAATTGAACCACGTCTCCAATGGCTCCTGCACTGGCAGGTAGATTCTTTACCACTGAGCAACCTGGGAAGACCCCATGTTCCAGATGTTTGTGTGGCAAACAGAAATACTCTGATCGTTTCTGCAGTAAACTGCGGTGCTGCAGAAACGATCAGATACACCCTTGTCATGGTAGGTGTATCTGAGTCAGGTCCATAAGCTCTACTAGACACGCCACTGCTTCTTAGATTAGCAGGATTATGGGCACTTCCTCGTTTACGGAGCAGCTGCAGTATGCCAGCCTAATTGTGCACAATTTTCCTGACCTGAGGAAGCGTGTGGGCACTTGGGCCTCCCACTTACCTCCCCAGCCGTGGTGTGGGAGTTGATGGTGATTTTGCAGGAACCCCCGCCATGGCAGTACACAGTGGACGTCATCTCTTGCCGATGGATCAGAGCTTCTATCTCATCTCGCGAAGGCACAAATTCTCTGCATTTGGTTTTCTTAAGAGATTCATAAATGAAGAGGGCGTATTTTTCCATCTCAGTTCCTGGAAACTGCTCCCGTATCCTAGGAGACAAACGCTGACTGTTAGTTGCCAGAGTGAGCATGGATGGCTAGGTAGAGTCGGACAGCTTCAAGGCGCTGCAGACCAAGGTGGCCAGTGGGGTCCCAGTGGTGTGCAGGGCCAACGTCAGCCGCGTCTGTAGCTCACCTTGTGCTGTTTAAAGACGAAAGCAGCGGAAAGGAAGAGAGAGAAAGAAAGGAAGAAAGACAGAAAATCCAGAGACCAAAGCTCCAAGTATGACTGAGAGCAACTTTTGCTACCAGCTGACCTCTGCAGAGCTATTTGAAAAAGCCACGTGCCTCATACTGTCCCGTGAAAATCCCTTTTTCACAGTTAATCTGCATCTGAATCAGACAGTTTCCACCTGCTTGATCTGAAACAAACATCTAAGGTTTTTTTTGTTTGTTCTTTTCCTGTAGAGTTTGCGTGTGCAAAGTTGCTTCAGATGTGTCCAACTCTCTGCGACCCCATGGACTATAGCCCACCAGGCTCCTCTCTCCATGGGGATTCTCCAGGCAAGAATCCTGGAGTGGGTTGCCATGCCCTCCTCCAGGGGATCTTCCCAACCCAGGGATCAAACCCATCTCTTGCATTGCAGATGGATTCTGTACTGCTGAGCCACTGGGAAGCCCTTATATACAGTGGTGGTGTTAAATTTATCCAATGTCCTACACAGCAGGACACCACCCTCAAAGTGACCTGGTCCCTGGGCCAGCCCCATGTGGTTTAGAGACACAAAGGTTGTCTGCCCCCGCTAAGCTGCTCAGGTGACCTAGGAGGCTGACCCACCCCAGGCGTCTTCTGTTCGGGGTCTGAGTTATTGGAGCCGTGGGCCACTGCACCCCGACGTGAGCAGCACGGCCCAGGCCACCTCGTACCTTCTCAGGTGGAACTTGAGGTACTTGAGGATCCCGCGGCTGGGCAGGAAGGTGCAGCTCAGGCAGGTGAGGATCTGCCAGCTGCAGAGGTTGCCCACGCTGCCCGGGTGGGGCACCTTGTTGGTCTGCTTGATGAGCTGGCAGTACAGCTCGTCTCGCAGAGGCCGGAGGTCATGCCCCGTCTGGAGGATGCCCTGGATGATGGGAATAGGGTCGGACATGGACTCCAGCTGCTGGAGGGAGTTGAATATCTTGATGGCTTCGTCCTGAAGCGTTGTGTAGCCCTTGTCTTTGAGCACTAGGAGCAAAACAGAGAGTCACACGAGGGGTTCGGAGACGGCCCCCTCTGGGCATGCGGGGCTCAGAGAAGGCACCTGCTGAGCAGCGGACAAGAGGCAGGGCTGGGGACCAGAGCTACTTCAGGATGCGGTGGCCGCGCCCCCGCCCCCGCCCCATGCCTTGGACGCTCCAATCAGCCCAACAGAGGCAGGCTAAACTATTTTTAGTTGTTTAAACTATTTAAACACGTAACTGAACTATTTCACTGTGCAAAATGCTTACTGAGAAGCTGGTCTATGCCAAACAGGTTCCACAGCTGACAGGTAAGACACCTGTTCAGGGTCTGCCTCTCACAGCGTTCCCCAATCGCTTTCACACCAGAGACCGATTTCATGGAGGACAACTTTTCCACGGACCAGGTAAGGTGGGTGGGGTTGGTTTGGGGATGACTCAAGTGAATTACATGTACTGTGAACTTTATTTCTCTTATTATTACATCAGCCCCACCTCCGATCACCAGGCATCGGATCCTGGCGGTTGGGAACCCCAGTTCTGGTATATGAAGGGTACTATGAGTTCCTGGGGAGAACTGGCTTGTTCTTTAATATGACAATCCTCTTAATTAACCAATCAACGCTAATCTGATGGGGCTCAAGAGTTCACAGGGAACCACAGCACCATGTCCCGGATCTGGGTGGAATTCGGGACTCACGGTTGAGGTTGATGTCTCCGTAGGGCAGGGGCAGGAGTGGCGAGTGCAGCGGGTGGTGGGTGTGCCTCAGGATGGGGTTCCGCTTGTATATCTGCTCCACCACGTCTGAGTTCAGGCAGTTCTCCTTGAGAAGAACGGGGCCATGAGAGAATGCCCACGAGCTTATCATAATAAGCATACACATGAAAGAACAAAGCCACCTGTATCCACCTGCACATGAATGGTTTTCATACGTCACGAAACACCTGCAGCTTGGGGATGGTGGTGGGAATCCAGCATTAATCATCTCAAGCACCAAGATAGCCACAAGTGATGTTTCAGGATAAATCACACACTCCTGTTTTTCTTACATAGCTTATTCTCATTCTCTTTCTTTGGTTTGCATATATTTTCCTATGTTATTAAAAAACCTTCTCTCTGGAGATTGTTGGTGTTGTTGTTCAGTCACTAAGTTGTGTCTGAACGACCCCATGGACTGCAACACGCCAGGCTTCCCTGTCCTTCACTTCACTCCTGGAGTTTTGCTCAAACTCATGCCCATTGATGCCATCCAACCATCTCATCCTCTGTCGCCCCCTTCTCCTCCTGCCCTCAATCTTTCCCAACATCGGGGTCTTTTCCAATGAGTTGGTCCTTTTCATCGGGTGGCCAAAGGATTCTAGCTTCAGCTTCAGCATCAGTCCTTCCAATATTCAGGGTTCATTTCTTTCAGGATTGACTCATTTGATCTCCTTGCAGTCCAAGGAACTCTCAAGACTCTTCTCCAACATCACAGTTCAAAAGCATCAATTCTTCAGCACTCAGCCTTCTCTATGGTCCAATTCTCACACCATACATGACTACTGAAAAAGGCACAGCTTTGACTATACAGACCTTTGTCAGCAAAGTGATGTCTCTGCTTTTTAATATGCTGTCTAGGTTTGTCATGGGTTTTCTTCTAAGGAGCAATCTCTGGGAATTACATATACTTAAAAAATTAATAACTTCTCTGGCTAATTGTTTAGCCCTAAGTCATTTGGCCAAATCACGCTATCCTTGTTTGTAATTCATTTTAAAAATAAGAATTCCCTAGCTGTTCAGTGATTAGGACTCCAAGTTTCTACTGCAGGGGGCCTGGGTATGACCCCTAGTTGGGAAACTAAGATCCTGCAAGCTGTGTGGTACGGCCACTAGGAATAAAAATATATTTTGCTAGGTCTCTCATTGGTCTTTCTAGCCTCCATCTGAAAATGACACTATGCTATCACTGAGACCCTTCTTTCCTGAGAACTCCTGAAATATAAGAGCTCCTCTCAGAGAATTTCATCATGTATTCATATTTCTAAAACATTTATTTGGGATTTGAAAAAGTCACAATTATTTTTAGAACTTTGAATCAACAGAAAAGTTGAAGGAGAGGCAATAAATCATTCTATCATGCCAATTTCATTTCCACTATGAAAGTTTTTCAGTAATACTCAACTGAAAACAAGAAAGAAATATGTTAACTTTCTTTAAAAAAAATTTTACTTACTTTTTTAAAAACATCTGATTTCAAATGAATTAAATGTGTTTGTCTAAGTTAAGAAGTGCTTCTAAATGTTAAGAAGCACTGTTTCACAGTTAAAAACTATTTACTCTTTCATGTTTGATTTATATAGTAAGTAGAAGGGTAGATAAGATACAGCTCTGAAAAGAAAGTTCAGCTGATATGTGCTTTTTTCTTTTTTTTCTCACAAGAAAGCTTCAAAAAATTCATTTTTTTTTTTAAGACAAGAAATGACAATACTAGTTTCAATTGTTCCTAATGACATATTAGTTTCAACAGTTCCCTGGACAGTTCTGTAGTTTGTAGGATAACTGACTTACAGGAATCTGACTCCAAATACCCAGAAAACATATTTTGGAATCAAGAGCATGACTTGAATTTGGGGGGTAATAATACCCTACCAATGTATTAGACCCTCTCCCACCTTTACAAAGGCACAGCTTCCTTCCTGTATCTGATGAGTTACTTTCCTTTGATGTACATCAGTAAATAAATGCCTGCCTCACTATCATTCTGGTATCTTTTCTGTCACAGCTCTGGCTCTTTCCTTCGTATTGGAACCCTGCCCACGTGGAAAATTTGGAGGAACAGCATAAAAATAATTTCCCCTGACTTGCTTCTGCACCAGGGACTGACCCATTATGTGAACAATGCAACTAGAACATCCCACATCTTCATTTCCATTCCTGGAAAATGAGCGCTGTGATCCTTGTTCATGGCTGCCATTTAATTATTCATTCATTCATTATCAGAGGAAATAATCTTTATCAACAAAAAATCACAATTTAAGAAGGTCAATGTTGGTCCAGAAACTTTGGAGCTTCTTCTGTGAGTTTGGAGGCACCTAACAAGGATTCCAATATTCTAGACCCATCCTGGGTTTCTCCCTGGTGGTGCAGGGGTCAAGAATCCACCTGCCAATGCAGGAGGCGCAAGTTTGGTCCCTGGGTCGGGAAGATCCCCTAGAAGAGGAAATAGCAGCCCACTCCAGTATTCTTGCTTGGAAAATCCCATGGACAGAGGAGCCTTGTGGGCTACAGTCCATGCAGTCGTTAAGAGTCAGATATGACTGAGCCCTAGGGATTAGATTTAGATTATGGGCTCTTAAGGAATCCACTTGTGTGGTCTAGAAACCGTTGAGTGAAAGTAGAATTATTTTGTGACTACTAGAAGGGCCCCAACTTGGGATCAAGTGGAATCTGTGACATGCAGGTTGTCCCCCACACAGGTCACACCACGTCCCTGCGACTGGGGAGCCCGCACCCCAAATTACAGACCACTGTCCCTCTGCCTACACAGTTCTACAGCTGGGTTTGCCTCAGCGGCCACACCTAACACCTCCCCAGAGACAGGATAGCTTTAGCATCCCATTCCACATGCAGTCGAGCATTTAGATTTTTTAAAACCTGGGATGCACAAACACGAAATTGACCAAGAGGTAGTTTCGATTACAGAGTGAAAATGAAGCATGACTAATGTTGACATCTTGGTGTCCTGAGGGTGAGAATCTGGGAGCTACCATGAACCACTATGACCATTCTCACCTTGATATCTTGAATCAGCTGCTGCGTGGGGGTGTCAATTGGGGCCTTGGTGTCGGTCACGTTTTGAATGGCGCTGGACCACCTGGTGGCCTCGTTGAGCAGCTTGGTGTAGAGTCGGTAGCAGTGCTTGCGTCCGTACACAGTGACGTTCCAGTAGCCTGTGAGAGCAGCGATACAATCATACCAGTGTTAACCTTGGGGACCAAGGTGACATCCCTGTACCAGAGTCCCAGAAATCCAGCACCCACGTCGTCTCCACCTGAGTCCCTTATTATTGAGTTCAGTAGCTACTTGCTGACTTCTTCCATATGCCCTGCCCTGCACTAGATACCCAAAGTCACGTGGAGTTTACAGCTGAGAGGGAGAGACAAATATTAAAATGATAAGCCCGGAATCAAACATATAATTAGTACCATCTGCTCTAAAAGCAACAGGCATAAACTAAAGTCCTGTTCAAGGCTCTGGACAAGAGTGAGAACTCTTCCCTCAGATTTCTTTTTTTCCCTCCCTTTCTGTTCCTTCTCTTCCTTACGATTTTCCCTCCTCCCTTCAAAAGAAACTGTTTATGCAAAGCAAGCAGTCCAAGTGTTCAGACACCAGACGAAAGTGCAATGGAGTGATTTCAGTTAAAAAAAACAAAAAATGAGTGTTTTTTGAATGGAGTAACCATACTAAAAAAGCACAAAGTCACAACTAGCAACAAAAGTCAAAATAAACAATCTAGAAACATCTTTCATAATACCCAAAGAGAAAAAGAAAAAGAAGCTTGTGTGACTACTTTATATTCTACTGGGTTATGTTCACTGACACTCAGGTTCTACCTTGTTTTTAGGCTGCATTATGACTCTCAGGGTGCAATGGTAAGAAAGACAAAAAAACAGAAGCACAGAAAAACAAGGTGTTCTGCAGGAAAACCTTTGTTTATATTTCACTGCCCTGAGAAGAATCTTTCTGCAACTCAAAAAATCAGGACCCTTTACTATGGTTTACATTATCAAGTGTTCATATAGGTAACCACGGAGAGCCTCAAAAGATATTGAACAAGGAAAGAGATATTTTTGGAAAGGAGAGGAGGGAATGTACACACGCTAGGTGGGGACCTCACCCCTTTGCTCTGAGCAAACCGGCAACTCCTATGATCAATCGGGCCACGTCTCAAGCATGATCAGCCCGAAGCACACTGCACTGCTTACCCGTCTCCTTAAAGATCTTCTCATCGGGTGGGACGACCGAACAGAGGCTATTGAGGACTAGGGTGCCCAACTTCAGAGCATTCTTCTCCGAGCTCTTGTAGTAATCCAAGGAATTGTGTGTGAGCACAAACCACCGTTTCTTCAGTTTCAGGGAAGACATCTTCGGACTGTTTTTCACTTCTTTGTGCAACCACCCTGGAAAGACAGACTGAAGTGTTAATTATTCAAAACCAGGATGAGCAGCATCTCGTACCAGGTGACCATTGGCTTACAAATGGACTGTCTTTCTGTATGTCTGCTAGCAGTGGCCACAATCCTTCCTTCCTTGATGATTTTTAACAATGCCAGCAGGCAAGATCATCCAAGGAGGAGGGGATATATGCATATATACGGCAGACTCAGTTCTTTGTACAACAGAAACACAACACGGTAAAGCAATTATGTTGTTGTTCAGTCACGGAGTTGTGTCCGACTCTTTGCGACCCCATGAACTGCAGCATGCCAGGCCTCCCTGTCCCTCACCATCTCCCCAAGTCTGCCCAAATTGATGTCTATGAACCTGGACAAAGCAATTATACTCCAACTTAAAAAAAAAAAAAAAAAGGCAAAATTATTCAGAGAAGAGGCTCAAAATGGAAATGCAGCAGATGCTTATGTAGATGAGAACAGAGCTCCGTAAGTCAGAAAGCCTCAGGGCATCACCTCTCACTATGAATTCCTGGCCCTCCACTCTGGTGTCGCCCTTGGATCTCTGCAGCAGCGTTATCCAATGGTGCATCTCCTCCGGCGTGTCAGCGTTGCAGTGAAGCACCCGGTTGGCCGTGATGATCACGAACGAGTTGGGTCTGAGCGGCGGAGAGAGAAGGAAGCAAAACCGCTTAGCTCCACTGAAACCCTCACCTCCGAGTGAACCAAGACTGAATGTCTTTTTCCCGGCTTACGGGTCACAGGGAGAAAAATGGCAGTGCTACTTGTATTTTCTGCTGAGGCAAACCTCGCTCATTTCTGCAGGATTTATTTCATGCCTCATTAACCTTTACACTTGGAGCAACACATTCTGAAAGGTCCTGGAAGGGAAAACATTTCTTCATGCAAAACTTTCCAGACGAAATTCGGTTCCGGGCAGGCTAACCAAGGTGACTGTGGGGGAAAGATTTTTTTTGGATGCCTCGCCAAAGTAAATTTCTTCCTGCCTTGGATAATATTTCTGTGGGTTGGTAATGAAATGTCAGACACCAGTAACAGAAGATCAGTAAACAGCTGTAAGTGGAACATCTTATACACTTGACTATGCCTGGAACAGAGAGCCACCTGGATCCATGACCTTAGTGTGAGCTGACAAGGGGGCCTTTTCCAGGCAGAGATAAATTAATAATGGAAATTTACTTTCTCCTGCATCTTTTTATCTGGCAATGTGCTGAGTCTCTCATAGGATCTTGCTTCTATTAATTCTTAATCACTGGAGCTAGGGACTATGAACAATATTTTGCAACTTTTCAAATGTCTGCTGAAGTTAAGTGCTGCAAAAATTTAAGGAAAAGAAAGAGGAACAGGACTATAGTATGGACAGACAGGTGCTCCTTAAAAAGCAAGATTTTTCTAGAGTTGGGAAAGGAGAAAGGTGAGCATGTGGCGAAGAGGGAAAAGCCAGGTAGGGATGGACATTTCTCCCATGGATCATCACAGGCCCAATGTGCCAGAGGAAGGGGTTTAGAAGAAGAGAGATGCAGGCAGGAATGTGACCGTCAGAATAAGGACCTGGGCTTTGATGACTGACATGACATGCAAGTGTTCAAGGTTCCTGAGCCAGGTATGAGGAGGTGCAGGGTGACTAGTAGAAACAAAGAATACAGTTCAGAAAAGCCTTCATGAATGGTGAGTGATGGACACCTCAGAACTCTCATTTGGCCCAGGAGACATGATTTTTGTTGTCAATTTTAATTCATTTCTATTCTCTCTAAAGCAATGTTATTGAAGGCAAAAGTCAATTCCCACTTGTACTCAGAATTCTTAAGTGGAAAAGCAAATTAAAGATGGTAAAGATGATGGTCACTGGGTACAAAGACCCCTGAGACCACTGCCAAAGATGATTTGCCTTTAAAAACAAAAACAAAAAAAACAAAAATGAAAATATGCTATTTTTAAGGGCATGGGTAAGGAAGGCATGTCAAGGAAAATAAATGACTGTAGTTTAATTTATTAATACTCTACATATAAACTTCCATCAAAATCCTTTTTCAATTCATTATCAAAGTATAGAAGGGGGAAGTTCACCCACCCCTGTCCTGGGACGCAAGCATTTCCTTCCTATATGAATCCCAAGTTTCTCCCTGTTTTTTTGTTGTTGTTATTGTTTAGTCATCAAGTTGTATCTGACTCTTCTGTGACCCCAAGGACCATAGGCTCTTCTGTCCATGGGATTTCCCAGGCAAGAATACTAGAGTGGGTTGCCATTCCCTTTTCCAGGGGATCTTCCTGACCCAGGGATCGAACCCACATCTCCTGCACTGTAGACAGATTCTTTACCATGGGGCCACCTGGGAAGCCTGTTTGTCTCTATGACTGTCTATATTAGGTTTCCATGCTCTCCCTCACCCCTGATCCTCCACACTCCAAAGATACCCCGAGAGGAAGACCGTGATTGCTGGAGTGGACCGGGTGGGAACACGAAGCCTGGAGTCATCTCCAAGGCCACAGCGTAGAGGCCTGTGGGTGCCTGCAGGAAATGAGCAGGTACTTTTGTTAAGCATCACACCTGAGCTTACCTATCTGGGCTGTCAGAGGCACACACAGAATCGATCAGTCCCACATCCAAAGTGCCCTGGAAAGGAACGAAAAGCAGAGAAACTCAGAGAACCATTGGAGTACAGTACGCATCATGATAACATCCCTAGATGATGCCTCTCCAAGCAGGCAAACAAAAAAGGCTCCTTCTTTTTGTGTTAACAGTGAAGTAATAGTTATCTAAGGAAACATTCCCCTTCATTCAGTAGACAGCCTTGAGACAGGGCAGAATCTACAGTCTACTCATTAAATAAATTATAAGCAAATCTTTCTGTCTTGTTCCTAAAATACTTTCAGTAAAGGGTGTTTACGAACTTCTTTCAATCGTACCAATTTTCTGATTTATATTATGATCTATCTTGAATTTTATATTTACAAGAAAAGGAAATGACTTCTAAAATATGGTTTTGTGTCTCTGTTTATACATGTCTGGGAGAGATTAATGACAGAATGAATATGATTCGTAATTCAGTAAATCTTTTGAAGAAAATATAATAAGGTTCCACGATTTCATAAAAATTGGATTTTTTTTTGTTCAAGATGGGCAAACTGTAATCTATTACTACTCACAATCTTCTATAATTTCTTGTTTTTCTTCATGATTTTTACCAAAATGTTCCTGTTTCTTTAATTATTATAGTGTGTGTGTGGGCGCTTAGTCACTCCAGTCATGTCTAACTCTTTGCGACCCCATGGATGGTAGTCTTCCCCGTCCATGTAGGACATGGATCCACTGTCCATGGGGATTCTCCAGGCAAGAATACTGGAGTGGGTAGCCATGCCCTCCTCCAGGGGATCTTCCCAACCCAGGGATCAAACCCGCATCTCCTGCATTGCAGGTGGATTCTTTACCAACTGAGCCACCCGGAAAGCCCAATTATTATACTATTACTTACTAAAAAACAAAACAAACAAACTGTCCCCAAGTTCCTGGTCCCTTTGCCCCCTCGGGATCGCCCCCCTCTACCGCACCGCAGCTCACATACCACGGCGTTTTGTGGGTTTGCCTGCTCGTCATGCATCTCCCGAATCTCCTGGTCTGTGGATGCGTGGACCTGACTCAGCACACTGAACCACTGGCTGTGGGAAGGAGACAGTGAGGGTTAAGGCAGGGCCAACCTCTGCACTTACAAAACAGGGACGCGCTTTCCCACCTCCCCTGAAAAACTGACATCTCCTCTGAGCAACTTTAACTTGCCTGTTCCTCATGGGTAAATGTGGATATCCTACTACCAAAGGAGCAAGGGTGGAACATACAGCCAAGGTACCTTGAAGTACCATCTGAGGCGACTTCTGATCAGTGGGAAAACCCTTTTCTCTGGCCCGACATTCACATGGACATTTAATGATGATGATGACAAGTTTCTAGAGAAATTGGCAGCAAGAAATGAAACCCTCAGTTCTACCCAAAACCCTTCAGTCTAGAGTCTTTACTGAAGATATTATTTATAACCTATGAAACATTCAAGTGCCCTCTCAGTTTTAAAAAGTATATTTCAAGGTAAGAAGGCCTATAAGAGCATCATCTCAGGGGTCTACTTCCCCTACTCAATCCCAGGATGAGGTTTCCAAACACCTGATAGGATTTCCACATAAAACCACTGGAGAGTTGAAAATAGAAAATGCCTAACGTAGAAAATTACTTTGACTAGAGAACTCCTCTGTCTTCATTTCGAAAGGTTTTTGGTACTTCCAGCTTCATCAGATTCAGATAATGAAGGAAAACAGGCCAATTCCAGAAAAGTCAAGCAGAACAAAAGTTATGTTGTAACTAGAAACACAATACACGCTTCAGGAAAATGACTATGAATATCCAGTTGTCTGTTGGTCCATCCATCCATTATTTACTAAGCAACTACAAGTGAGAGGTACCAAATGTGAGATGCCAGAAGATGCCCTTCTCCTGTAGGGGGCTGATTAGACACATATACACACTCCTGTAACTAAAGCTGAGAAAGTACTTGGTATCCAATGGCATATTTAAGTAAAGCAATTAATACCTATATTTAACGGTAAGTCATGTAAATTATTTATAGCAAAGCACTAAAATCTCCTGTGATTCCTAAAGCAGAAACATGTAACCAAGAGCTTGAAAATACTCAACATACAGCGACTCTTAGGGAGACCAATGGAAACATTTTAATATGAATTTGTTCATCAATTCTAGTTAACCCAAAGACAAAACTTCAGTCATTGCTTTATAAAGCTCAAAAATATCCCAAGTCAAACACTGAGCAACATTTACATTTAAAACGTAGGCCACATGGGATCAGACAGACAGACACACACACACAAATAAAATTTGCTGTGGCTTCCATCTATACAGGTGACCGCTTCAAATCCAAAAAATCTCTTCTCCTAAATCAAGTACAACTCAGAATCTGAAAAAGAACTTTTAAAAATGTGTTCCACTGGTCAGGGCAAAAAGTCCTTGGCTACAATATTCCAAATGTTAAATTTAGCAGGTTCATTATGGCACAAAACAGGCAGGGCTGCTGCCAAACGCTGGGTCTATAATTCAGTTGCAAAGCCGTGGGCATTCCCTGGACTGCGGCAAACCACATGTGGCCTCCAGGAGTCCCAGACAGAATGATGGGGCTGTAATTCCAGGTCTGCTTGTTTTTCCAGCGTTGTGTCATGATTTATGGATCTGAGCGGGGGGTTTTAGTTCGTTCCCATGGGAAGAATTATTTTCTTTGCCCTTCATGCTGCTGCCCATGGTGTTGTATCAACACAGAAACATCCAAAGGGCAAGGGGTCATAAAGGCCCCAAGAACTCTCTGGAAGATTCTAGTGATTTCTGAGCTGACAAGTGAATTCTCCAGGCAAGAATACTGGAATGGGTTGCCATTCCCTGCTCCAAGGGATCTTCCCAACCCAGGGGCTGACCTGGGTTCTCCTGCATTGCAGGCAGATTCTTTACCATCTGAGCTACCAGGGAAGCTCTGAAAAGTGAAGAACACAGGCCAAAGGACGTCACCCTCATAAATTAAAAGGCATTTTGTGGCACTGCTCAGATGAGCGTTCTGAGCTCAGACAAGGTCCTTTTGTGGCGCTGGATGACAGGCAGCTCCAACCTGACCCGACACACCCAGAAAGCAGCAGGGACGGACAAGACACAGGCTCTGAGTGGCCCTGCCACGAGTCACACTGAAGGGCAAACCCCAGTCCGTAATTTGTGCCACATCTCGGCCCAACAACGGACCCCGAGGTCCAGGAAAGTCAGACAACTTGCCACAGCCAATAAGAGACCCCGCTGTCTTCTCAGCTCAGTCAGAAGTCCAAGCTCCTTAAGAGGCTTCCTGCCTCTCTTCAACAGAACTGAGCTTGCCTTCCTTTACGGATTATACTAGCTCTTCTCTGTTGGGGCTTCGCTGGTGGCCCAGAGGGTAAAGCGTCTGCCCGCAATGCGGGAGACCTGGGTTCGATCCCTGGGTCGGGAAGATCCCCTGGAGAAGGACATGGCAACCCCACTCCAGGATTCCTGCCTGGAGAATCCCATGGACGGAGGAGCCCGGTGGGCTATATATATAGTCCATGGGGTCGCAGAGTCGGACACGACTGAGCGACTTCACTTTCACTTTTCTTTCACTTTTCTCTGTACCGCAGTCTCCTACTCTGTAAAATCGGGGTAACAGTAATCCTCCTGCTACCCCGTCGGGTTGTTGTGAGAATTAGATGAGTTAAAACATGTGAAGCATTTTGAACACTGCTCGAAATACAGTATGTTCCAAGTGTTAACGATCTCTCCAGCCAAGAAATTCTTCACTGTCACAGCCTTAAGCACCCTCCCAAATGCCACAATCCTGGCATTTGTTTAAACAGCCAGTGGTGAATGTTCCTGCTTTTTCAACCTTTAAGCAAACCAGAGCAGCTCCCTTCCAAAGCTCAGAGGCTTCCAGAGGGTGGCTTTCAGCTGTGTGTGGGAGCGCAGTATCCACATGCTGCTGGTGACAATAAAAGCCTGAGTGGACCCAACTGGAAAGCCAGTGGCAAGTGAAGCTGGAAATCCATGTGCTTTGTTACTATAACAGACATAAAGACCAATGAAAGAGTCCCCAGGAGACAAGTATTCAATACTTGTCAGTTCAGCTCTTCTGACTCAGTCCTTCAACCATCCTAACAGAAATACCCAATGAGAAAAGTCAGTTAAGAGCTTTTCGGGGCTGGTCGGCTCAACAGTAACCCATGTGACACCCAGGCCAACAGAGAAGCGAGGATGAAGCTACGACCGACTTGACAGCCCAGCGCCTCACCTGGCATCTTCCGGGGATTCCGCAATCAGATGGAAGGTCCTGTCGGCCATGATGATGTCAATCCCGTTCTCTTTGCTGGTGTTATCTATGATCTCCCTGCAGGGGAACACAAGCGCCCAACACAGAGCGGGAACACAGAATGAATGCTTGAGGAGGGGCAAGAAGAGAAATTCCACAGCAACTGAAAAATCAGACACCAACCCTTTAGCCTTTTCGCTTTCAGAAATGATGACGGGGTCTCTGGGGGTGGCAGATTCCTCCTTGCTCGAGAATGGGGGGCTCTGCTGGGTGTGTGCGGGAGGAGGTGGGAATGGGGTTGGGGGGCATCCTTGACTTCTCTAGGGAGGGGCCTCTCTTCTCCCACTGGCCCATCCAAGGCGCACCCAGTTCAGGTGCCCCCACTCTGCCTGTACCTTCCCTAGGCTCCCCCACTGCTCTATAAGGGACCCCCACATTGCGGCCAATCTGCAACAGCGCTTTCATTCATCACAGCATTCCATCTAGGTTTCAGGCTGCCACTGACACCTCTGAATTCCTCTGGTAAGGACACACTATTTCCACCAGGGGCTTTGGGGTGAAGAGCAGGACTTGAGTGCTTCTAGATCTCAATTTCGCCTTGATCTGATCCTAATATTCTTAAACCACCCTAGAGGTTCAAACTCAGTGGACCAGGCTAAGAAGAGCAGGGTAAAACACAAGCAGCTGTTAGGATGGGACCAGAGATGGCGATCTCCTTGAGGAAGAAGGGTGTTGGGGATACAGACAGCTTGCTTTGACAGCTGAAGTAGCACAGCTGTTTCCAGTAAAACACTTATTTTACAACTAGAACATTCAGCAGTCCACTTAGAAAAAATAAATATGGTATGACCTTTTAGCTAGAATCACCGAGATGAGATCTCTTAAAGGAAATCAACCCTGAATACTCATTGGAAGGACTGATGCTGAAGTTCCAAAACTTTGGCCACCTGATGCAAAGAGCTGACTCACTGGAAAAGACCCTGATGCTGGGAAAGACTGAATGCAGGAGGAGAAGGGGGCGGCAGAGGATGAGGTGGTTGGATGGCATCACCAACTCAATGGACTTGTTTGAGCAAACTCTGGGAGATGGTGAAGGACAGGGAAGCCTGGAGTGTTGTAGTCCCTAGGGTCGCAAAGAGTTGGACATAACTTGGCAACTGAAGAACAACTAAGATAAAATATTTTAAAAAGCCAAGAAGATCAGAATTCACACAGGAGTCTGTGATGCCTTCTTAAGAGTAGAAGAGAGAGGTGACCCTGATGGGGGAGCGATCAGCCAAGTGTCTGATACTGCAACCTCTGGAGCAGGGTGACAATCCTCAGGGGAAATCTAACCTGGCCACATTATCCCAGACCAGCCCCTTAGGTACCTGGGAACTCAGTTACCTTGTGTATGAAACGAGTGGGTGCTGTGGTTTTGAGCCACAGCAGGTCCACCAGAATCCTGGGGAACATTCAGAAACTCAGGTGGAGTTTTTCAGGGTAGAACCCAGTAACTTGCATTTACAAAAAGTTTCCCTGGAGATGATGATACTGTCAGGGTCTCAATAAACACAGCCTGTCAACTACAGGATAAATAAGGCAGCATCTCCAATAACAGGGAGTGAAAGAAAAGATGAAGGGGATGGTATATAAATTGAAAGCAATTTGAGAGATCTGTCAACTGATCAAAAACTATGAACCTTATTTGGATTGATTTGAAGAAAGAAACCAACTGGAACCAATAATACTATCACCCCCATTTATAAGATAACTGGGGAAATCTGAATAGTGACTAGAGTTTGGATGACAGAAGGAGTTCATGTTCCTTTTTAAATGTGGTCATAATATTGTGATTATATATTTTAAAACATCTCAAACTTTAAGTGAATAGCAAATATTCACAAATGAAATCATATGGTTAGGGCTTGCTTTAAAAATGTAGTTTGGGGAATTCTCTGGCATTCCAATGATTAGGACTGGGTGTTTTCACTGCCTTGGGAGTGGGTTCAATCCCTGACTGGGGAACTAAGATCCTATGAGCCATGCAGCTCAGTCAACTACAACAAAAAAAATGTAATTTTCAGGGGTGGGGGGAAGAGCAGTGTGGGATCACAAATGAAATACCACTGGCTGGGGGTGGGTAACCACTGAACGCTGAATAATGAGCACATGAATTTCATTCTAGTCTCCAACCTATGCTTGCATATGACTGAAATTTTCTATAATACAAAATATATATTTTTTTATATAATAAAAATAAAAAAATAAAGAAAACCTTATGATGGTGAAACCTTAATAACTCATTGCCTTCTCTCTACAGAACATGACCAACAGCTGAAGAACTAACACTTCCTTACCTCTATAATTTCTACATAACACCTGGAGAACAGGGCCCTATTAAGCATTTATTTGCTATACAGCAAGCAGCAAAAGGAACATCCATCAAATTTACACTGGTGAAATTCACGACCACTGTCTGTCTCAGCCTCCTGGCCTCTGTGAGCCACCCCCCAACCCCGACCCCCGCCTATGGGGTGAAGAGAGGACCATCGTGGTACATAGGGCAGGGGTAAGAGTACAGGAGGCTCAGAGCTGGGCCACGCTGCACACACTTGCAGGACTCAGACTCAAATTCCCACAAACTCATCTGACTATAGAACATGGGCTCCTCCTCAGGAACCCCAAACGGGCAGTCTGGAAAGTTCCAGGACTCTGCTGTTTGCATTTCATTGTTTGTCCTTAAAATTAAGTACATAATTGGTCAAACTCTCCATTTTTCAATGAACCATTTTCTAAAGCTCCTGATGCTGGCTGAGTAGAAACGACAAGTCATTTTCAGGTCTCGTGAATTCAGGGGTTAATTCCGTCTCTCAAAGCTTATTTTTACCCATTTTCTAAACATACAAGATTGCTCACTTTGAGTGGGGTGGAGCTACATGTTACCCCAAATTTTACACTTAGTATTTAGTTACCTAAGAAAACCAGCTACTCCTCAAATTCTCAGTATTTTCTGAAAACCTTAATTTTTAAACAAATACAATAGGCCCTCAATGGTTCAATGCTTCGGTTCGTAAGAACCAGGAATTCCCCTGGTGGTCCAGTGGTTAGGACTTGGCGCTTTCATTGCCATGGGCCAAGGTTCAGTCTCTGGTTGGGGAACAAAGATGCCACAAGCTGAGTGGTGTGACCAAAAAAAAAAAAAAGATGGCAGAAAAAGGGGGGTGTTGGATTCAAACCCCAGCTCTGCTGCTCTCATTGTTGGCATGAAAAGCCTAGGATACCCAGCAAAGGTGGGACACAAACGATTCATTTCACACCCCTCCAGATGGACTGTCTGCTCCCAGCATAGCCATCTGTTGGCTACAGTCGGGCGTGGGAAGAAACAAAAGTGATAGGCTGACCCATAAAAGGATGACAAGATGCTCAACCAATGGATCAATATCCACACCATGATTCCTGTGTACGGCCAATCACATTTCCAACAGGTTAGTTCTCTGTTCAGCGAGCATCTTATAACCCAGAGCTGAAAGTTTCAAAACTCAAGGGAACTTTCACAGATGGTCTTATTTCTCTGATTTCCTAATAATTCAGCCCACTGAAAGGAATGGTGAGGACTCTTGATCACCTCCTACAATCTACTGCTTCAGAGAACATGTCCCAGACAGCTTGGAGTCAGGGACCTAATTGATGGAAGCAGCCCCAAGCCCCTGCCAGGGCTCATGAACGTACTTGGCCGCCCGGACCTCCACAGTGCCCTTGAGCTTCTCCTCGCTGTCGTTCTCGAAGTACATCAGCTTGGCCTGGCGGAGGACGAACCAGCGCTTCTTCCAGTTTCTCCTGGACAGGGTAGAGGAGCCGCCGCCCTTCTTGTGCAGCCAGCCTTGCTTGAGGGCCTCCTGCTTGGAGCGGAACCACAGGAACGTCTCGTCCTTAAGTACGCACCAGCGGCGCTTCCAGGAGTTCATGAGGCCACCTGTCTCCCCAGGGTTGCGGGGCCGGGGGGGGGAGGGGGTGGGGAATTTAAGGAAAGTTGGATGTTAAGATCAGTAGGTCTTAAGGTTTAGCACATCCTTAACTTTGCACCAAATGTTCTGCCTTCAGACATGCCCCCAACGACGGATCATAGCACTGCAGGGTCATGTTCAGGGGGCAGGGACCACTCTGGCTTGGTTGAATTACATCAGAACCCTTCCTGGGACCTCCTGGGTGGTCCTTTGGTTAAGACACTGCACTTCCGCTGCAAGGGGGCACAAGTTCAGTACCTGGTCAGGGAACTAAGATGCTGCACATCATGAGAATATAATCTTTCCTTATTTCCAAAGAAGTTCCTACTCACTTAGCTTAGACATCTTGGTGAGGAGCTTAACACCAAGGGTACAAAGGGACTGATATTCTAACCCTGGAGTGAGGCCGGACCATGGGGGTTGGGGCAGAGGTTAGGGGGAGAACCACTTCCATACTTATGGATCATGTTTCTGTCCAGACACCCCAGGGAGGGCAAATTAGTTTAAAACTGTGTCCAAGTTAACAGTTTCCTTCTTGGTTCAATGTGAGGAGCAATATCTATAAGAGATTCCAGAGTTCAGCAATAAACTCTAACTTAAAAGGAAAATAACACATCACTTTTCTCAATAAACATCTTTTCAGAGAAAAGCATCATTATCTGAAAATGGTTTATATGTACAAGCTATAAAACTGAGACTATGAAACAAAGTAAGACTCCAAACTGTGATAGCATCGTGAACATGAGAATTTAGCTGTAATTTCTTTCGTGGAAATAAATCTGGTTGAAGGAAACTAGACCAGGATATACAGATATTATCGCTTACAACATAAAAAAATACTTCTAACAGGCTTCCAGCAGGATAATTTTATTATTCTAATTTTATTTTGCCCCAAGACACTCAAGAGTGACATTTTGCCACCATCAGTCAAGAATCTGTTTTAACAAATCCACCAAAGAATACCACATCTACTTCAATAACTGTAAAATGTCCATAAGTTATCTCTTTGATCCACCAGTAACACAAATAAAGAGTATCTAAATGTGGATACTGAAAATGAATATAGAGGAAATGCTTTCCTCCTACAGATTAGACATATATTTAAAACAGACATTCTCAGATTAATTTTTTTCAATGGTTGCTCAGTGATTATAGGTCTCAATTTCACAGTGGAACAAGAGAAGCAAAGAAAACACTGGTTTGTGTGTGCGTTGCGGAGCACACTTGTATCGCTGACTAACACAGACGACAATCCTGTCTCGTTTCTACAGAACGTCCTGCTCACCTAGCTGAGAAGCCTTTGTGATCTTGCCAAGCACCAGAGCTGTTTCCTAACAAACAACAAACTTGCCAGGGACTCCCAGAAGAAAACTTTTTTTCCTTCTTGATTTGTGGCTTTAATCTAAGTTTCTTAAAATAAGCCAGGAGGAAACTGTAGTACAAAGTTATCCTATTATCTTATCGTCTTTGAACGATAAGGGCTATTCACAGTAGTTTCAAAGACACAGATTACAAGTCATCACTACCAGTCACTCTGTTGTGCTTCCGTTATTGATGGGACTCATGCCCAGCCCTCCCTCCCCCATTCTGGAGGCTCCCTTCATATTTCATCTAGAGAATCTGATCAATGTTCTTAGTTTCCTGACTGTAAACACCTTTAGAAGGTTATTAGGCTGGTGCAAACTGATTTATACTCACAAAATATAATCTGCTGGTTAGATTTGCCTTATCACTCGTTTCTTTGAAACTTTTGGTCACAACTTAAGGCCTTATTAAACATCAAACGACAACGTATTGGAGATTAAATGGTGATGCAGTTACACAATAATTTGTTTTATTAAGAGATGAGTTTGCCAAAAGTTCACTTGCTTACCTTCTTGAGCTTTTAACGCTTTAATGTTGGGATCTGAGTGCTCTGAATGTATATTTACTTTTTCATAATCTTATTTGTTTTAATCAAGACAATTATATAATAAATGAATGCCATATATTACAATTAAGAGAATTAAGGGAATTAAGGGAATTTTTAAGCTAACTTAGAGAACTAGATTAATTAGGGGGTGAGGAAAATATAAGAATAATAAAAAGCTTATCTTTACTCTGGGAAATGCATGAGAAAAATCTTAAAATGCTATGATTAGATACTTATTATATTATTAGACTCTGCTTTGTGATGACATTTTTTCCTTCATCCAATGAACACTTGATTATTTGGTTAGAATTCTTCAATCCTTTTCATCCCAACACAACTACAAGAATTTCTATCAATTAGTACCTTTCACCAATAGGAAGATTTCCCCTAAAACAAACCTGGAGGGGCTTCCGCGAGCCCTTTGATGCTGAGAACAGCAGAAATTTGACAAGTAAGTGACTTATGTTAGCAGCTACACAGATACCAAAGAAAGAAAGTGAAGTAGCAAAAAAGAAACCAACTTAAAAGGAAAAAAACCCACAAACACACAGAAAAAGTATTAAGGAGAACAAAAGAGATATGAGAAAAGAAAAATATACCAACAGAAAAGCAAGGCAAAGGCAAAGCACAGAAAGGTCAGAGAAAACACGAAGAACTTAAACCATCTGGGGAGGGAGGGTCTTGTTATCTCCACCCAACCCACAAGACGTGGCCTCTCCCCTCACCCAGGGTGGAGAGAGAAACCAGACAATCCCCTCTTTGGATGACCTACATAAAACTGGTGCTGATTATGGTTTCTGCTGATTCCTCTCGCTGATTTAGAAGTCAAGGTCGAGAACAGGAATAAGCCACAGGGACAAGGTCCTGATTAAGTACTTTTCCAGAAGGAGGGTGCTTCAAGGTCCCCAAGCATTAAGGTCCAGTTCGATACATGCCAAGTTCCATGGCAATGAGAAAATGCAATTACAATTCTCATCATGAGCAAGGGACAGACAGTAGGTGTCACAGGCAGTTCAAGCCAGGGGCGGCCCGCTCTCAGATCTTTACTTTTCTGTCTGTAAGACATCCCTCTGGGGTCTCTAAGACTCCTGCAGGAGGGAAAAATGCAGCTTTATCATTGTAGTGTGTCGCACCAACCACAGCGGCAGCACACAAGTGTGTCTGCACATGCGTAAAAGAGAGAGAGAGAGAGAAAAAGATGCAGGGATGGTGAAAGGGAGGGAGGAAGAGAGCACAAACATGAGACATGGAGGGCTGCTCTGGGGGCTCAGATGGTAAAGAATCTGCCTGCAGTGCAGGAGACCCAGGTTCAGGCTCTGGGTTGGGAAGATCCCCTGGAGGAGGGGCATGGCAACCCACTCCAGTGTTCTTGCCTGGAGAATCCCATGGACAGAGGAGCCTGGTGGGCTGCAGCCCATGAAGTCATAAAGAGTCGGACGCGACTGAGTGACTGAGACACACAGGAGACGTGGAGGCAACAGAGAGGGATGAACTGAAAATGGTGACGGTGGCTGCAGACCCTTCGTCCTGACACAGCCTGATCGGGTCACCAACGTCACACCACCATGGTGCCCCCTCCAGCCACCTGTCAGGGCCTAACACCAGGGAAGGGGGACGCGGGGCGGTTTTCCCGGCCGCCCTTCCATCAGCCTCAGCTTCCCATCGCTTCAGCCCCTCACCCAGGCACCAGGGCAGCTGCAGGGCATACCTTTCATGTAGAGGAAACTGTGGAAATAAGGCAGCGTGACACAGCTGTACACAGAGTCCCGCCGGTACGAAAGCTCGTCGTCCGTATCAAACCGAGGATCGAAGTCCTCTTCACTATCTTCAAACTGAACCAGGGGGGAGAGAGAGCCAGCAGTGAGCCAAAAGGACAGAAAACAATCACCGCAAATGCCCAGCACAGATCAACACTGAGAAAATAAAACTAACTGACAAAGAAGCCACAGGCCGATTTGTCACAACACTATGGAGTGTGGTCAACAAAAGAATTCAGAATTACGAAATACTGACTGCGGGTGTAGGGTGGTCGGTGGACTTGAGATGTAGCACACAAGACATAGTTTGATCCCAAGACTCTGTATTCGAAGCACAACACTACTGCTTAAACATATAATTTTAATCAAACCACTCAAGAGTTAATCTCCTCTAGGTTACTGTGCTAAATCTATCGTCAAGTCTTAGAAAAGTCCAGAGTATTTAACACATGGTCAACGAAAAGAAAGAAAAAAAAAGTAAACTACAAATAAATTCAGAAGCTAGAAAGGGCCTGCTGAAGCCTGCAAAGTTTCCTCCCTTACAATGAGAACAATACACAACATCCTGCAGGGAGCCTGAAGCTACTGTCAGGAGCAGTCTCTGAAAGGTCCCTGGTGAGCCTCATTAGAGCTTAGGGCGGGCCTTATTTCCCAACCTCCTGCAAAGCCAGGACAGACACTGGCCAAATTCTCCACTGAGCATGCCAGTTTTCTTAGACTCTGGGCAAAATGCAGTTCTCTGGGTTTTGTGTTGAAGCTCCAACAGGCACCAACAGTTCCATTTTCTCATCCGATTGCTTCTGGCAAGAGAAAGGGGTCTCAGAACAGCTCTAAGAGCCTGCCTTTGGCCCATCCTGTTGGGGGATGTTTTTATTCCAGGGAGGGTGCAGCAGGAACGTGGATGACAGACAACGTCCACCCCAGTGAGGGCCGGCAGGGGGCGGGGGGCGGGAGGTGGGTGGCACCAGGTCAGCAGGTACTCACCGAGGACTGGGCGCCCTCCGAGCTGAACCGGTAGGCCCCAGAGCTGTTGTAGGTGCCCACGGAGCATCGGTAGTCTGGGGACCACTGGCTGCTGCAGGAGTTGGAGAAGGTCACGCTGCTGCCGGAGGTGATGGCCCCGTCCTCGTAGTCGTCCTGATCGTAATCATAGTCGCCCTCCGGGGCGGGCAGGGCCCCCGGGGTCTGGGGCAGGCAGTAGGTGGGCTCACCCGCGGAGGAGTCGTGCTCCGAGGGGGCCAGCAGCACGGTGCTGTCGGCGCTGGGGCTGGTGGGCACCACCGTGTCGTTCATGTAGGGGTCCTCCTCCGAGGACTCGTCGCTGGTCCGGATGCCACTGGTGCGCTGGTCCGAGTGGCCGTGCTCACTGGGGTTGGGCGAGTCCTTGAACGCATCATCATCGGCCTCGAAGCCCTCGTCCACCTCCTCCTCCTCCTCCTCCGGGTAGGGCTGGCTGAAGTTGAAGCTGGGTTTCTCCGCCCCGGCGCCCGGCTCGCCCGTGCACCCGCTCCCCACCAACAGCGAGCGCTCGATGTTGCGGACGCACTCGTCGATCTCGTCGAAGTTGAGCGACTCCAGGAACTCCTGTGCCGCGCGGCAGGCCTCGTCCTCCAGCCGCCGCAGCTCCTCGTCCCGCAGCTGCTGCAGCTTCTGCAGGGACGCCTCGGTCAGGGACAGCTCCTGCCGCTCCTTCATGCGCTGCAGGTCCTCGATCTCCTTCTCCAGCCGCAGGATCTCCTCCACCTGCTTGTTCTCCTTCTGCTTCTCCAGCTCCCGGCTCAGCTCTGCCGCCCTCTGACTCTCCTGCTGCAAGGCTTCCAGTTCCCGCTGCTTCCGGGCTGCTTCCTCCTGGATCCCAGAGGAGGGAAGAGGTCAGGAAGTGACCCTGCAGAGATGGGGGCAGCGGTCCTCCCAGCGTGATGCGATACGGCCGCTGTGGGCTGCACTGCACCCTTCCCTCCCCCAAATTGCCCTGTGAAGCTCTAACCCCCAGTTCAGTCCAGTTTAGTCGCTCAGTCGCCTCCGACTCTTTTTGCGACCCCATGAACTGCAGCACAGCAGGCCTCCCTGTCCATCACCAACTCCCGGAGTTTACCCAAACTCATGTCCATTGAATCAGTGATGCCATCCAACCATCTCATCCTCTGTAGTCTAACCCCCAGGACCCTAGGAATATGCCTGGATATGGGGACAGGACCTTAAGGAAGTGATAAATTACAGTGAGGCCCCGAGGTGGGGCTCTAAGCCAATCTGACTGATGTCCTTATAAGAGGGGACACACACACACACAGGGACGCCAGGGAAGTATGCACACAGGTGTAAGACCATGTAAAGGACACACCATGAACCTACAGAGAGAAGCTTCAGAAGAAACCAACCCTTGCAGACTCCTTGATCTTGGGTTTGTAGCCTCCAGAACTATGACACAGTCGATTTCTTTTGTTTAATTCCCCCCGGGCTGTGGCACTATATATTATAGCAGACTGAGCAAATTGGTACAGTGGTGCTACCGGTTTAGAGCTAGCATGCTTTTGTGATTTGCACAAAAATCTTAAGACATTCACACATTTTTACCCAAAGGTAAAGGGTTAGAAATGGCAACAAAAACATCTCCTCTAAAATCTTTCCTCCTGTGTCTTTATTTTAGTTTTGAATCCTTCTCCCTATATCATTATTTTAGTTTCTAATCCCCGAGGCAAAGTGTCAGTGAAAGTGTTAGTCACTCAGTTGAGTTCGACTCTTTGTAACCCCGTGGACTGTAGCCCGACAGGCTCCTCTGTCCATGGGATTCTCTCCAGGCAAGAATACTGGAGTGGGCTGCCATCTCCTTCTCCCAAAGTGTCAGCAGTGGGAAGGTAACAGACAAAATGCCATGTTGTCATGGCGTTTTTCACCTGTTGGGCTCGGAGCTCCGCTTCTCTTCGTTTTCTCTCTCTTTCTCTAAAAGAGAAAGAAAAAAAGACAATGAAAATAAATGAAAGCAATGAAAAAAAAAAACTGAGAACCGCTTTTCAGAAAGCCAAGGTTTTTTTCCCAAGATTATTTTTTAAAAAACAAGTCACAACACTAAGCTTCTGGCGCATTCTGCCGATGCACAAGCTACAAATGCTTGCTCAGCAGTTGAGGGGCATGCTTAAAAAGTCAATAAAAATCCACATAAAACAAATTTTCAAATGGTTTCCAGAGGAACATAGATTACTGTGATCCCATCTCCCAGTTTTCCACATGGCTGCATCTGTGCCAACTCTATTTACATAGATATCTCAAAACGAGCACTAACTGGGCTTCCATGGTGGTCTAGTGGTTAAGAATCTGCCTGCCAATGCAGGGGACTTGGGTTCGATCCCCGGTCCAGGAAGATTCCACTTGGCGCAGAGCAACTAAGCCTGTGCGCCATAACTACTAAAGCCTGCGAGCCTAGAGCTGTGACCCACAGTAAGAGAAGTCAGAAGCCCACGCAGTGAAGAGTAACCCTGCTTGCTGCAACTTGAGAAAGCCTGAAGGTGGCAATGAAGATCCAGCTCAGCAATAAATATATCTTAAAAAAAAACCTAGCAATAATTAAGTGAACGATCCCTCCCAAACCCTTTAATCAAGCTAAACTCACAGTAATGGCTACAAGAATGGCATCCACCATTACTAGGAGCTAGAGTGAACTTTTTAACAAAAGATTTGCTAAAGACGACTTAAAAGGCATGAAGGATGAATGGGGTGTCTTCCTTTGGCAATACAGACAGCTATTCTTTGCATGAATAAAAATATACATGAAACTGGGTCTTCAGTGGTGCCAAGGAATTTTATCTGACCCACCAAGAGGTACTGTTTCCAACAGCAGGTTCAGCAGCATGCTCTGGGAATTACAGCCTCAAGCCTGGATCCAGAGCATAAAAACTCCAAAGGTGTCCTGTCTGTTTCATGCAAATAAGAAAAGTCCATACCTTTCCTCCTCCTCCCGTTTCCTCTTTTCTTCCTCTTCCCGTTTCCTCTTTTCCTCCTCTGCCCGTTTCTCCGCCAGCAGCTGTCTGTAAATTTTTCTGGCAATCTGACCTCGGAGTTGCTTCTGGAAAACCACAGCTGCTTTTTTCAGGTGCAAAAATCTCCTCCTCAGGAGGAAGGCCCTGTAGTTCTTCTGTATGATCACGACACAGTCAAGGACCTTCTTGTATTGCTTTCTGAAAAATGAGAACGAAAACAGCACAATAGCATTGCTGAGGATGGAATGAGGCCACGAGCTCTTCACAGGAGTTTATGTTAATGTTACACGACAAGAGAGCAGGACCTCATTTGGGGCTGATCCACTCATTACTGGGACTCATTACAGGGAGCCAACGAGCAGGTCCTTGTGGGCAAAACAGAAGAAAAACCAAAGAAGAACAGAACTCAAGCAAGAAGCCTATCATCACGTTGGCTAAATAAACACATTGCTCCTAATAACTGACTTTGCAAAGTTCTGGCAGGAAGTGAGGCCATAAACAGAACCAAGGGATGTGATACATTCTGCTGTTCTTAGGAGGGAAAAGGAAAAGGATTCACCGCAGCAGGACGGCTGTGTGTTTGAGAAAATCTAATGTATGATGATGAGATGATGAGCAGGCCCGCTGGTCCATGGATGCACCAGAAAGTACCTGCCTCATTGGGCAACCTGGGAGAGGGGGCCGCTGTGGACCCCATGGGTTGACACCAAAGTAAACAGGCGAGCTGCCTGTGGATTAAGGATACGGCCCCGAGGAACTAGGGAAACTATTTAAATATCACGCCTGGTCCACCCCAGTGATGCCACCACTCTGAGAAATCACGAGCCCCCGTTCCCACTTCCTGCCCAGGTCAAGCTAACTGGCATCACCAATCAGGAGCACTGCCCTGACCCTCTCCTTAGCCTGGTCCTGATAAGAAACCATTCGGGTTTATTTTAAATGAAAGCATACAATAGCCAGCACCATGAGGTGAAACATAATAGACACATCCCCGCCCCTCTGCACACATCTTACCTTGCCAAGTAGCCCAACACGTGGGCCCGGATGACCATGGCCGCCCGCATCACCTCCTCTTCCCGTCGTTTCTCCAGTTTCTGCTCCAAGGACTCACGAAGGAAGACCTGCCCAGGAGGGAGCAGCATGTCAGAACCGCAGAATGTGGCTGGTACTGGGAAGGCCTCTCTGAGTCAGAGATCTCTTTGCGGGGGCGGGGGGTGGGGGGGTAAGTTTTTTTTCCTCTCTCCGATTTTTGCTCCAAACAAAGAGCAATGCTGCCCAGCAGAGGGAATCTCAAATTCCTAGTGGGTATAGGATTTTTTTTTTAATATCCCATCTGTCACGGACTCAGAATTTTGTAAAATGTAGTCAAAAATATATTGCCAGAAAGAAAAAAAAAACAAACAAAAGGATATTTAACATAGAAGTCCTACTGTTTTGGTTATTCAACAGGCATAAGATGACTGTGAAATTGACACCAAAGTTTATAAACACTTATCTCATTATAGTTCAGGGACCAGCACTAGTCCACACTAAGTAACAAGAGATATGAAAAGACTCCCTGACGAAAGAAAGAAACGGAGGGGGAAAATAACCACAACATTTGTAAGACGTTATTTGTCATCATGTGGGAAGTCTCTCTTTATGCTGTCAAGTGATTACAATCAAGCATCTTGGCCTCAAAAATAATGCACATAAAAAATTGTCCTTTAAGAGTGTAATTCTGTAAACTGTTTGAAATGAGCTCTGAATCACTGATGCTACATCTCAGTTCAGCCACCATAAGACAATCAGAATCAGGACTAAACAGATGGTAGCTATCTGCTGGCCTGTTTCTGGCTATGGGCACTTCAATATTAAGCTTGTCATTTACATAAAACAAGTGTGTCTGGTACCTGGCATTTGTATCAGAATCCCTAATATTTGAAAAGGTATGAAAATAAAAGACCGTCCCCTCAATCATGGCAGGGCTTCCCTGCTGGTTCAGACAGTGAAGAGTCCACTGACAATGCAGAAGACCCAGGTTCCATCCCTAAGTTGGAAGCTCCCCTGGAGAAGGGAATGGCTACCCACTCCAGTATTCTTGCCTGGAGAATCCCATGGGCAAAGGAGCCTGGCGGGCTGCAGTCCATGGGGTCACAAACAGTTGGATAGGACTGAGCCACTAACACTTTCACTTTTCAATCATGGGAGCTTTTCATTTTGTAGTTTTCAATGGGATGCACATCTAAGAAGTTTTGAATTATTACCTAAAAAAACTAATGCCAATACTGATCAGTGGTTAAATGACACACCCCCTCATCCATGATTTCTTGACTTATGCTCCTTTGACTCATTCTGGCTTACGACGATGCATCATGTCTCCTGATGGCACATTTTTTCCAGACTCTCTGCTCTATTTCTTCCAAGACATTTGAGCAAAAAAGCAAATAAAGAATTCTACCACCATGTGACTCACAGAAACCTTACCTACTCCTGCTGTGGATTTCTGCACATTTGTAAAACTCTCCCACAATACCTCTCCCCAAAAGCCTTTTCATACAATGCTCTTCCTACAATTGCAAATAATATGCTCCACTGATGCATAAAGAGACTACAAGGTTAGTTAAAAAAAGAAAAAAGTAAAAAGCAGAAGCTGCAAGCATAAAGTGTGTTTGTGTGATAATGATAAAAGGTTTCCAGAAATATGAATCTCTACCAAAACCATGGGACAGCAGGAGTTTTCACCAAGACTGGACTTCAAAGAAATATTTAAACTTCTCTTTGAGATGACTATTCTACATTAAGGAGCTTACTCAAATGCTTTTGCTCTGGTTAGTGTTTAAAAGAAAATGTAATAAAGTCTTTTTTTTTTTAAAAACATTCTCCATTTACTTTTTTTTCTTTTGGCCAAGCTATGTGGCATGGCATTCCAGATCTTAGTTCCCTGACCAGGCATCAAACCTGCACCCCTTATAGTGGATGTGAAACTGTAACTGCTGGACCCCCATGGAACTACTAAAGTTAAATCTTGATGAAGAGTGATGATGGTGGTGGTGACATAATAAAACAAAAGTGTTAATTCCAAAGAGCTATATATTTATCACATGAACAAACAGGAAGCTTTATGAAGGAAAAAGATGCTTGCTTCTTAGAAGGAAAACTATGACAAACCTAGACAGCGTATTAAAAAGCAAAGACATTAAAAAAAAAAAGGCAAAGACATCACCTTGTTGACAAAGGTCCATATAGTCAAAGCTCTGGTGCCTCCCGTAGTCAAGTAGGATGTGAGAAAGAAAAAAAGTGCAAGTCACTCAGTCATGTCTGACTGTTTGCAACCCCATGGATACACAGTCCATGGAATTCTCCAGGCCAGAATACTGGAGTGGGCAGCCTATCCCTCCTCCAGTGGATCCTCCCGATCCAGGAATCAAACTAGAGTCTCCTGCATTGCAGTCAGATTCTTTACAAACTGAGCTATCAAGGAACCCCAGGAATGTGACGGTTGGATCATAAAGAAGGCTGATCACCAAAGAACTGATGCTTTCGAAATGTGGTGTTGGAGAAGACTCTTGAGAGTCCCTTGGACCGCAAGGAGAGCAAAGCAGTCAATCCTAAAGGAAATCAATCCTGAATACTCATTGGAAGGACTGATTCTGAAGCTGAAGCTGCAATACTTCGGCCACCTAATGCAAAGAGCCAACTCACTGGAAAAGACTCTGATGCCGGCAAAGACTGAAGGCAGGAGGAGAAGAAGGCAGCAGAGGATGAGATGGTAGCATCACTGACCATGGGCATGAACTTGGGAAAACTCTGGGAGACGGTGAGGAACAGGGAGGTCTGGAACGCGGCAGTCCATGGGGTTAAGAGAGTCGGACATGACTTAAGTGACTGAACAACAACATGAAGGGAAAAGTGTTTCATACCGAATCAGAAGTCTAAAGACTCTCTTGATTGGATCAGAATCTGAGAAATACCTGTTTTAGTTTCATGCCCATCAAAGACAGCTCTCTGCTCTGCCCATTAGACTTACATCCACATCTTTATCTAGAGCCTCTTTCCATGATGGAAAAAGGGAGTAAAATGCTTGAGAGACCTGACTTGGCTTCACTAAGAACATTTACCCTGAATTTACGCAGTGACACATGGGAATTGATGCCAGTTCTTCCAGCCCAGGGTGTCTTTTGCCACGTCACCATGTTCCCAGGACACAGCCAAGATAAAGTCAGCAGGATCCAGCTGCTGTGAGTGGAGGTCCTTGTCGGGAATCATCAAATGGCTTAGGAAAGGTCAACACCCACTCAGGGGGCTGCTCGGCCAACCTTGACTCACTACCCAATATGAACATTTTCCTGTGGTTCTTTTTTTTAAAAAAATCCTTTCTTTAGATAGCTTAAGAGCCTATGGATTATTCTAGGAAATATGTCTTTTTAGAACACCTCTTGCAGACTTTATTGCCACAGAAGAAGTAAGGTCTGAAAGTGTAGTCCAGGTGACCGGAAAAGTGAAACTTGCTAGAGTCACAGGGCAGAGGGAAAAGTCGAAGCCAGGAAAAAAAAAGAGGGGAGCAGCTGTCCACCTCTGCCCCCCTAAACTCAGCTTCTCAGCAGGGACACACATCACATCTCCTGCTCCGGCTGCTCCAGGGGCTCAGCCAGCCTCCTGTCTTCTTTAGGGGTGCTTCCCCAGCAGAGATGAATCCTTGCCTTCCAACAACTAGATGTGTTTTTAAGCCTGTGAATTCTGACCTGGTGCCATGTTTAATTTTCTGACTACAGCACTGCCCACAGTACCCTCCATAGTGTAAGTGTCAACAGAAACTTTTTACCCAGAAGATCTGGATGTTCCTTAGTGGTTTATGGGCTTAAATGCAAAGACCTCTGGCAGCAGCACAGACAAAAACACTGCTAGCATATAATTAAGTCTAAAGTTGGTCAAGGTCAAAGCTATTTAGCGGATAAAATTCAAATGCTCTCATGTTTACATTTACTTCCTAATATTTACATGAAATGATAAGCTTCCATTCTACTGCCAATGTGTCACCAGTTAAAATTTAACCCCCCTTTAAAGACTTCCTTTTCTCGAACACTTTTCTGATCGTTTCAATTCACAGTGAGCTCTCTCCTGGAGCTATGTCCTCATTCCTTAAAGAGATCACACTATAATTTATTAGTTGTATTGGAAAAAACCCTGATGCTGGGGAAGATTGAGGGCAGGGGACGACACGGTTGGATGGCATCATCAACTCAATGGACATGAGTTTGAGTAAACTCTGGGAGATAGTGAAGGACAGGGAAGCCTGGAGTGCTGCAGTCCATGGGGTCTCAAAGAGTCGGACATGACTGAGCAACTGCACAACAGTAATAATGGGGTGACATCTCCCAGCAAATAAGTAAACCAGGGCAATGCTTTTCTGTCTCTATATCCCTGTGCAACACCCAGTTCTAAGCTGTGCTGGGGCCTGACTTCCATTTGTAAATGAAGTTGGATTGGTTTTTTAGTGCTCGGTGCTCAGAAAAGTGACTGCTATTGGCTGGGTAAGTCAATGATCTTGGATATTATCCCACCATATAAGGAAGTGAGGTAGGAGGACGGTATAATATAGAGAATGTAATATATTATAGAGAATGTAAGATCCCAGGGAACCTTCCTGACCCAGGGATTGAAGCCGGGTCTCCTGCATTGTAGGCAGATTCTTTACCAACTGAGCTATGAGGGAAGCCATGACAGAGGAGGGGGCTTAATCCAATTTAGGGGTGAGTTTTGATGCAGGGTGAGATGAAGAACGTCAGAAAGGATTCCCAGAGAAAGACAAATACCATGTGATACCACTTACATGTGGAATCTAAAATATGTCACAGATCAACGGATCTACAAAACAGAAACAGACTCACAGACATAGAGAATAGACTGGGGGTTGCCAAGGGGGAGCAGGGTGGGAGAGGGGTGGATTGGGAGTTTGGGATTAACAGATGCAAACTATTATAGGACGGATAAACAACAAGGTCCCACTATATAGCACAGGGTACTATATTCAATATCCTGTGATAAACCATAATGGAAAAGAATACGGAGAAGCACGTATCTGTGTATATAACTGAGCCACCTTGCTATACAGCAGAATTAACACAACACTGTAAATCAACTATACTTCAATTTAAAAAAGAAAATAAAAAAAAGGATTCCCATCAGTCTGCATCCAAGCAGACTTGAAGGAGAGGGGAGAGGTCCTAGCAGAGAGACCTAACGAACCTGCAAGGACACACACCCCAAGGGTCACCAAACGCCCCAATGAGTTACGCCCCTGCTCAATCTGACCAGGGTGGGTGAAACCTGTGACTTTCTTCTAGGTCGTGGCAGAGGTGAAGGGGTATCACTCTTGTGAGTATGTTACATTATATAAGACTTTGTGACCCATTGGGAAATGAGCTGTCTAGCCTCAACAAACCAAAATCAACAAAACTGCAGCAAGCTGCTTCTGCTGGCCCTAAAGAAGTGGGTGGGCGCAGGGTGAGAACGCCAGTGGGTATTTTCCTGAGCGACTGCGCATGTAACAATCTTGTGTCATTCCCTGACAGTGTGTGTGTATTTTCGGCACTTAGCTGACACTGACTGAGCTCCCGCTATGCGCGTACAGTGTACGTGTACTACATGGGGTAAGAAACGGTGGGAAACTCTAGAAGCTGAGAGCAATTTCAGGGTAAGCAGCCTGCAGGAAGAGAGAGACCTGGGCAAGACTGAGGGCAGGAGGAGAAGGGGACGACAGAGGGTGAGATGGTTGCATGGCATCACTGACTCAATGCACCTGAGTTTGAGCAAACTCTGAGAGATAGTAAAGGACAGGGAAGCCTGGTGGGCTATAGTCCATGGGGTCGCAAAGAATCAGACACAACTGAGTGACTAAACAACAACAAGAGTCCTACAACCACAAAGAACTCGATTCTAGAGCCACATGAGCTGGGAAGAGGACCACAGGCTCGGGAAGGGAATGCAGCCCTGGCTGACAGGCTGAGACCCAGAGAGAGGACCAGCTACGCTATGCCTGGACCCCTGACCCACAGATACTATGAGATCACTGACCTATGCTGTGAAAGCTGCTAAGTTTATGGCTGATTGTTACACAGCAATAGGTAACTAACACAATACCTCTGCATGCTATCTCTACTGGATGCGCGTATACTAAGTCACCTCCAACTGATGCCTAAATACTTGTCATTAATTTCACATCAGTGTTAACAGACTGAATGTCTAGCACCCCTTTGCCCCCAGTTCATATGCTGCAGCCCTAACTGCCAGTGTGATGGTATTTGAAAATCAGGCCTTTAGCAAGTAATTTCATTTAGGAGAGTGAGGTCCCATGATGGAAAGAAGGAAGACAGACCAGAAGTCACTCTCCACCATCTGAGGACATAATAAGAAGGCAGCTGACTGTAAATAAAGAAGGAGCCCTTTGCTAGAACCTGACCATGTAGGCACCCTGATCACAGAATTCCAGCCTCCAGAACAGTGTGAAATAAATGTGTGTGTTTAAGCCATTGTTATGGTATTTTATCAGAGCAGCTCTAAGATGAAGATAGTCAAACTGCAAGATACCTCTTCTTCCTCTCTTTTTTTAATACAAAGAAATTCCTAGGTTAAAAACATAATCTGAGCAGCAACTTTAAAATACTTCTCTGACCCTACGCTGCTGCTTGCAGGGTCAGAGGATGAGGTTGGAGGAATATCTCTGAGGACATCCATACACTCAAGGCCAAGCCCCAGTTGCCTGCATTTTTGCCTCTCCTGTGTGATAAGACATTGGAGGTGGGAGGGGAGACAAGGCTGGAAGATCAAATGCAGGTTTTGGCCATTTCTGATACTGGGAATAAAGGTCGCGCTGCCAATTTTATGGCTAATTTTTGCAACTGAGGCCAGACTGCTCACCACTTAGCTAAGGAGTAAAGGCCTCATACCTGCATGTGCAAAGAATGATTTCACCTTGGCCTTCAGGACTGGACTTAGGGCAACCTACACGATTTCAGACTTGCTGGTCTCCCACACAGCTCCCCTGGTGCACAGCGAATGCGCAGCGTTATGACAACGCAAAGTTAGAGGGTCTGGGGCCTCACTTCTTAGATGCTGGAGGCTGCCCAGCTCTTCACTGGCACTGAACTGCCTATCAGCCAACATCTGTTGACTGAATAATGAAAACATACACAGGACCTGATGCTTCAATGGCTCCCCAAGAACAGAGTCCCCCAAGAGTCAAGGACTTCAAATAAAAGGTTAATGGTGGAAGGACAAAGAGTGTTGGCCAGCGTGATACCATGATACCATCTTCCTAACGCTGAAAAACAATTGGTTAGCAGTCATCACAGGACACTGAACTCAAACATCTCTCTGGGGGTTGCCGGGCCAGCCATTCGCTCTCTGAAATCTTACCTTCGTCTTCCCCAGTTGCCACTCACTGTTGGAGGCATCATAGAGCTGCAGCAGGGCCGTGCACTTGCCTCTGATGTCCTCAGGCAGCGCCACGTTCCTCATCAGCACCTTATACCTGCAACGTGAGAACGCCCAGCGTCACCTCGGGCTACAACCCTTTCCCCAATCTCTCTGAAAAGAAAGAGGGTCTCTGCAGCTCCATCTTGCCTTTTGTAAAAGTCTTGGAAGGGTCTCCGGACGGCATAGCCAGCTTTCCGGATCCTGACCGTCTCCAGCATCCCCGAGTACCGCAGTTGGTTAACCACGACTGCCTGGTCAAACTGGTCCGGCATCTAAAATGTGCCAAGAGGTGAGAAGATGAGGTTATTAACAAGACCACCCACACCATGGTTGTACTCACATACACTTTGGGCCTACACAAATACATAGGAGAGAAAATGAACTCATCCCATGTACCTACAGACTTGTCATAATAGCCAGCACTATCAACCCTGCCCCATCCTTAGCCCACCTACTCTTTGTTCCTGGATTTTTTGGGAATCAAGTCCCAGATAGCACACCCTCTCATTTGTAAACATATCAGTATCATTTTTTTTTCTTTTTTTACCACACTGTGCGGCATGTAGGATCTTAGTTCCCCAAACAAGGATCGAACCCGTGCCCCTGCAGTGGAATCATGGAGTCCTAACAACTGTACCACCAGCGAAGTCCCCCCATCAGTATCATTTTTAAATAGAACTAAAACCCTATTATGAGTCTTCCCTGTAGCTCAGATGGGAAAGAATCTGCCTGCAGTGCAAAGACCAGGGTTCAATCCCTGGGTCAGGAAGATCTCCTGGAGAAGGAAATGGCTACCCACTCCAGCATTCTTGCCTGGAAAATTCCCTGGACAGAGGAGCCTGGAGGGCCACAGTCCATGGGGTTGCAAACAGTCGAACATGTCTAAGCAACTAACCATTTGAGCACTTTTCATCACAATACTATTATATTTAAAAGATATCAATAATTCCTTGATATTAATATCCAGGTTCAAATTTCTGATTATTTTACGAATATCATAACCAGACCACCATTTTTAATTCTATGTTTTCCAAAGAAGCTACAGTGTTAGACATTTATCATTTTGTTTTCAATACTTCAATTTCCAGGCATTTTTTTAGCTGAAGAATGCTGTGAAGTGACCCAGAGAGGACTAGGGGAGGAGTTAGGGCCAGGAGAGGAAAAGGAGAGATTGCAAGTGGAGAAAAGAAACAAAAATTCTCAACTTCTAGTCAAACACCCTGTTTATCGCGATCCATACTATGATCACTAAATATGTTAATCCCAGAACATACAAATGAAAGACAGAGGAAATGAAACCAAGACTTAACATTCTGAACTGTGTTCTCAGATCTGCTCAGTTGTGCCAAAAAAACTGGCACTGCTGACAGGACAATGGTCTTTCAGGGAAAAGCCCAAAAGTAGGCCATTTCCTATTCACAGCTTTTTGAGCAGTGATTTGTTTTTTAATCCAGACACCCCATTTCCTTTAATTAACTTGTATTTTGTTATCTTACAGAACTGTGTATAAGATGACCGAAAAATAGCCCCATAGGGCCCAGAGATGTCAAAAAGTGCAAAGACATAAAGTGGCTTAAATATGTGAGCTTTAAAAACACAGCCAGTCATCAGCACAAAATCAGGCTGAAAGGCACGTTACCCTGTTCACTTTCCAAACTAGCAAAACATAAATCTGAAGAATGCTCTGCAAATCTTTGCAGCATTTCATGGAAAAGTTGCTGTCCCATGCAGCAGAATGACTTCTCTCATATTTAATTTCTCCTAAAACACTGTAGTCAAACTGTCTCTACTTGGCAGTATTCTACCCGAATCTAGCCAATAAACTAGGGCAACTACCCAAAGAATTGTGGCTCACTGCTTTCTAGTCTTAATTATTTCAAATATTCTTAGACAAGAAAGAATAGAATAAAAGCATGAAAAAATTAGCCTTGGTTACTCCTCTACTTAATCTTTGGACTAAAAAAATGGAGAGGTGCAACAGTTCTGAAGGTATGTGGTTAAAATTTCTTAGATTTATTTGGGATATAATCTGAATCCACAATGACCACCAGAGAGCTAATATAAAACAAACACTGAATAAGACATCAGGCTTAGTTAACAATTAAATTCATAGTCATGGAAATCTACAAATTTCATGTTTAATCATTTGATGCTTCGAGACTTGTCCAGTTTAAGAAAAAACTCTCTCAACTTTCACCATTCCTGACCCATACTGTTTCTCCCTTGCTCCTTTTCTTCCGATCTCTACTTAACAAAGTCCATACAATTCCTTAATTTGGTACTAGTTATTAAAACTCTAAAAAATACTACTAAACGGACACCCCTATCCATAAAGTCCAGCTGCACTTACCATCTTCCAGCCCCTCCGAGGAACATTCCACATTCAGTTTCGCTCTCAGGCCAAAATTCATATGGAAAACAACTGCCACACTGACCTTTTCGCCACAGCTAAAGACACTGAACAATAATGAACACCATTCCTGTGCTTTAAAAAGTGCTCGGTCGCCATGACAACCCCTTCCATTCTAGGGCTAATTAGTGTGGTGTGGTTGTAGGGTTTCATAGAGCCCAGGGAGGGGAGGGTGGGAGGCAGCCACCAGGAGTGGCCACTCTTTCCAGGCTCCCATTGTGACTGTGCTTCTGCCCCTTCATAGAAATTTAACCAGGGGAAGGCGGATCTCTGGGCAGATTGTCACCCTGGGCAACCCACAGGGCCATCACGAGGGGAGTAGACCTGTATTTCCATTGGTGGGTCTCTTTTGAGTTTTAACTTCCTTTTCTTTCTGGTTCAAAGATGACACAGCTGGAGGAAGGGGGGACGGGGGGACAAGTCACAGCTCAAAGGCATGTGTCCTTTTAAAACTTCCCTCATGGCCTCCAGTCCACACCAGTAACTAGTTGTCCAGAACTGGAGGGCCCCCCTTCCAAGACTGCCTGCAGCGTCCTAACTGGGAAGTTTTGCTGGCTAACAGTTAAGGAGGATTTGGGAAACAACAGCCAAGAACTAGGGTAATTAAAGTCCCAGGAGATCCATTTACCAAATATTAAATGAATAAACACCTACTATGCGTCAAGGTTTTGTGATCCATGCTTGGGAAGAAAACATAAAGATAGGTGCTAGGTTCTTTTTTGTCTTAAACCAACAACCCTCACCAGAGTAGTGCATTCATTATAACTGATGAACCCACAGGATATATCCTAATCACCCTGAGCCCACATCTGACATCAGGGTTCACTCTTCAGTGTTTACATTCTGTGAGTTTTGATGAGTGTGTAATGACATGTGTCCATCATCAGAGCCTCACACACAGTGGTTTTGCTGCCCAAGAAATCCTGTGCTTCATCTATTCAACTCTACCGCTCCCTAACCCCTGGCAGCTACTCATATTTTTGCTGTCTCCACAGTTATTATTTTTTTAAGAGCAGTTTTAGGTTCACAGCAAAATTGAGAGGAAAGTACAGAGAATCCCTTATACCTTCTGCCCTTCATTTGCATAGCCTCACAGGCTGATTCTGTCTCCAACGACCCTGGAATTGAGGAGGTTAACAGGTATGCCAGACATTACTGCTTATACAGTAGATAGCCTAATATCAAACTACATCTGCCCATCTGACAGATGAATGGACGAAGAAGTTGTGGTACGTATACACCATGGAATATTACTCAGCCATAAAAGGCAAGGCACGTGACAGTTCTAATGAGGTAAATGCCTATTACACAGAGTGAAATAAGTCAGAAAGAGAAAGACAAATATTATACATTAACACATATATATGGAATCTAGAAAGATGGTACTGATGAATCTTTCTGCAGGGCAGCAATGGAGACGCAGACATAGAGAACAGACTTTTGGACACAGTAGGGGAAGGAGAGGATGGGACAAATTGCGAGAGTAGCATTGGAACATACACATTACCATATGCAAAATTAGACAGTCAGTGGGAATTTGTTACATGACACAGCGATGTCAAATCTGGTGCTCTGTGACAACCTAGAAGGGTGGGAAGGGGTGGGAGGTTCGAGAGAGATGGGGGACATACATATACCTATGGCTAATTCATGCTGATACATGGCAGAAACCAACACAATATTGTAAAGCAACTGTCCTTCAATTAAAAGTGAACTTAAAAACACACTGAAAATTAAAATCGTGTTCCTTGGGAATACGGAAAAAAGAAAAGTACCGAGATGGTACACGTGGCAGGTGAATTTGAATTAAGATCCCACAAGTCAGAGTCTGGACTCTCGCATCTACAACTCAGTGCTGGGGGGACGGGACATTCTACACAGAGAGCTCAGCTCACACCAAAAAGGCAGAGAGGGAACCTGCGCTGACAGTGGACACGGCACTCAAGTCGGAAGCCACTGCTTCCAGAATCGGGGCCACCCGCTGGGGTCAGACCTGGGCTGTAGCCGGACCTCCCCTCCCTCCTCCGTTGGCAGTGGCAAAACTGTAAACCAGACCAGAGGAATGGCCAGGTATACGCTGATATCATGCCCACCACGAAATGTTATGTGCCCATTAAAAAATAAGCACAAATTAAAAATGCCCCAGTAGGGACTTCCCTGGAGATCCAGAGGTTAGGACTCTGTGCTTTCACTGATGAGGGCATGGGTTCAACCCCTGATTGGGAGCTATGATCCCACAAGCCAAGTGGTGTGGTAAAAATAAACTTAAAAAAATTAACAAATCAAATAAGCAATAAATATTAGATACAAATAGTATATAAAATGATTAAATAACGTATAAATGGGCTTCCCTGTTGGCTCAGCTGGTAAAGAATCCGCCTGCAGTGCAGGAGACCTGGGTTCGATCCCTGCGTTGGGAAGATCCTCTGGAGAAGGGAAAGGCTACCCACTCCAGTATCCTGGCCTGGAGAATTCCATGGACTGCATAGTCCACGGAGTTGCAAAGAGTCAGACATGACTGAGCGACTTTCACGTCACATAGAAATAAATACTAAATGTATTTTTAAACACCCCAGTTAACTCTCAAGCCTTTTGTAAGGTGAGAAAAACAAGATGCAGAGAAGTATGTATGAGAATCTCATTACTATAAAACAAACAGTGGTCCCATCAAACATGACACCTGCTCTACGTATGCACATGTGTGTGAATATATACATCTAGATACGCGATGTGCAGAAAAGGATAGGAGGAGACACGCCAGGCTGTTACAGAGTGGGGGGCACTATTATAGGCGGTGGGAAGAAGAGACAGCTAAGAAAAAAGGGGGGAAATCAGATGGCACTAAAAGAAGGAAATAATCAC